CCATGGGAAAGGGTGCATGGGTTGCCAGGGGTTCGAGGGAAGGGGGCCATGAGATGGACATGGGAAGAGTGCATGGGGGGGCGAGGTGAGAGCGAGACGAGGGGGAGCGGGCCGCGGGGGGGGTTGGGCATTTGAAACCGGGGCCCTTTAAGTAATATGAGAGGAGCATGGGGTCCCCGGACATGGGAGGGTCGGGCATGGGGGGGGGGCGGGGTGTGAAGAGCGGGGAGGGGCGGAGCGGGCGGAGATGCATTCGGGGCCCTTAAAGAATCTGATAGGAGCACCTAAAGAATGCAATGGTGGCGCAATGTGGGACCTGGGGCAATGAGCTGGAGACGGGGGGTCGAGGGATGGAGCGAGGTGATGAAGGTCATGGGGCTATTGCCCATGGGTGCCAGGGGGGTCGAGGGCATTAGGGGCCATGGGAGGGAGCGGAGGGGGGGGGGGGCAGGAGGGCGGAGCGGGGCGGGCATTGCAACTGGGGCCCTTGAAGTATTCTGTAGTAGGGTCCACGGGCCATGAAAGGGGGCATGGGGGGGGGGGGCGGGGGAGGAGAGCGGGGAGGGCGGAGCGGGCGGGCATGCACTGGGGCCCTTTAAAGTCATCTGATAGGGGCATGGGGCCACGGGGCCATGGGAAGGGTGCATGGGGGGGGGGTGTGGGTGGTAGGAGCCATGTGGGATCATCTGGGAAGGGTGCTTGGGAGAGGGGAAGGGCTGTGGGTGTTGGAGCAAGACTATGGGTCTTCACTAGCGCCTCCCCCGCTCAAAGCTGGGGTCGGCGGATCTTAAGAGACGGCGAGAGAAACCACAGCGCAGCCCGAGAAGGGCTCCAAATGGAGCAGCTTCCAAAAGTAGCGGGTGCGTCAGAAGTGATTGGGAGCAGAGAAAACGGCTCTTACATGCTCTGCGAGGGAAGACAGTTCGTATGGTCTTTTGAGGTTTGTGTCGGATGGAGTGAGGGGTGCTCAAGCCAAGCCGACCTTTCAGATTGTGCACAATTCAGGCCGACAGCTCACTGCTGCAGCAAACACCTCCTTGAGCACCCCTACTGTCGGGCTACGCAACCACGTGCTGCCATGGACGTCTTCGGCATAGATGTGGAATGTGCAAAGATATCGGGTGAAGTTCTCACGCTTTCTGTCAACTCGGACTCGCTGGTGCGAGACCTGAAGCGGGCTATCTCCAACTTGGCCACGCCCAGTGAGCCTCAGTTCCATCCGATCTGCCAGCAGATCATGTGGCAAGGCCGAGCATTGGAGGATACGGAGATTCTGCAGAAGCTATGCGAGCCGCCTCGAGCTGGGGACAAAGCAAAGCTCGATGTGACCCTGTTGCTGACCGTGGACGGCATCTTGTCAACTTTTGGGCTTGGAAGGTGTGATCTTGCTGCCGCTTGTCCATCCCAAACGTCTAAAATAATCGGTTCCGGAGGATGCTGTGAGAATGCTGTGATATGGAGGTGTTTTCCAGGTTTTGTCATTTTTTCTCTTTCTTTCTTTGAAAGTCTGTTGTCTGGATTTTTTGGACTCGTGTTTCGACATGTTGAAGACCAAGGTCGCTGCGATCAACGCTGCGCGGACGCAGGCGGTGTGTGATGAGCAGGCCCTGAAGTGCTCATGTTTGGGGTCGCAACGGAGTGACTGACATGCGCTTGCGCAGGTGCTGTCCGCGCTGTATCACTGCACGCGCTGGGGCCTCTTCAGCCGCTGCCATTCGCCGGAGTCCATCTCACAGCCCCGCGTCAAGGCCGGTTGAATTGGAGGCAAAGAGTGTTTCTGGCAGTCCGAACTCCGAAGATTGAGCTTGTCTCCAGACTTTTAAAAACAGCTTCTCTTCTCTTTGAGGCTGCGGAGTCCATCAACGCCTTCGCGCAGAAGGGCCAGGAGAATGCCGTGGATGCGCTCATCAGGCGCTTGACGTCAGGGCTGAGGATGTCATGTTTAAGGGTGGGAGCAGTTCAAGGGGGGTTGCTTCTAGCTCGCCCAGGTGCCTCAAAAGCCCCTCCCGCGAAGTTCGTGAGATCGACGCTTCTCTGCGCTCGGGGCGGGGGGGGGGGGGTGGGGCAGCAGAAGGCAAAGGGAAGTGGATCACTGTTGCAGTCCTAGCCCCATGCGTCGGGGCTTTAGGCAAGTCTTGCTGGAGCTGTAGCGGACCTAGGGACCTAGGATGATCTGGGGTCTCCTTCATGAACCTATTGTCAGTCGATGGCACGCGTGTAGGCTTCTGACTACCAGGCCATTGACGGTCTCCTCTTGGCCCCCATGGACAAGGAGCTCTTGTGCAAGAAGTTGAGAAAGCACATCGATGGCCTGCTGTCTGTTGAGGACTGCGGGGGGATTGCCTTGTGATAGAAGTTCTTTGGACAGATCAGAGATGCAGAGGGTTGAGCTGTTGTTAGGACAACGACGATGAGGAGCTGAGAAGAGTGAAGTGGCAGGCTCTCTGGTTTTGTTGAGGACGCTAAGTGGGCGGTTTGCTATGTTTCGTTGGCTTTGCAGCTTGAAGTTGGCTTGTAGCAGACGGACGATTCTGGTCATTGTATGGAGCTTCGTTAAATTGCGTTTCCAGATGTAGCTCCGAGAAAGAAGTACTTTAGTTGCGCAGCAATTAAGGATGCGCCCTTGAGGGGATAGCAACATGGGTTATCACTTCCTGCTGCGCATCACCGGACTCAAGTGTGTTACTTGTAGCCATGTTGACATGAACTGTTCCGCGCGCGTGTTATGCTGGTTTGCCTGACCCTGTGCCCAAAACGTGATTTCTCAATTTGCTGAAATTCTCTTCTTCTGTCTTTCTCTCTCTCTCTCTCTCTCTCTTTCTCTCTCTCTCTCTCTCTCTCTCTCGCGCTTTTTACTCAGTTTGTCTCATTTTTCTTTCTCGCTCTCTCCCTCTCTCTCCCTCGCCCTCCGCGTCCACACTCGGAATTGGATTTGTATGGCTTGGACAAGTTAATTGTTTTGCTAGACCACATGCAGACGACATCGATTCGGGCGCGCCCGCACCTTTGCGTATTAAGACTCATCTAGCTCGCGGTGCCGAATGGCTTTACATAGTATAGGTTCCTTATCGGCTTGGCATACTTTCACTTTCTGCACATCGACTGCATCCTGTGAAACACTTGCATGTTCCTAAGCCTTCTCATGAACACGCCAGGCTTACGAAGGATGGGACATTCTGCCTGCCTTGGAGATGTTGGGACTGCTGTCGCATCCGAGCGACGAAGACTCGCTCAGGGTGCTGAAGAAGGCTTTGGACATCAAGCGCCTGGGCCTGGCCGTGGCAAGCAGTCGTACAACGTGACATGAGATGACGCGTGCTTTGAGGTACGACTTCGTTGGCCGCCAGATTTTTGCAAGAAGGGTGACGCTGTCCTCTCTGGGCCATGTGGGCTGGACATGTCCCAAGACGTCCTGCAAGCTGGTGCGGTACTTCGTCAAATTCTGCAGTGCGCCTGGGACGTGGGCTCGAGTTCAGAATGACTGCTGGTACTCACAAGAGGCTGATGCACTAGCTCAGCGAGCATGATGTTTATCCAGTCAGCGTGCTTGCAAGCCCTTCGCATCATTCAGGTGCTTATGTCTCCTGTCGTGATGGGTCGATTTGGTTTGGTCAGCATCTCAGTATGCTTTAGCTGTGTACGCTCAGTCAGCAGTGGCCGAAGTTGGGAGTCACAGTTCCATGGCTGATTCAAATATCTAGCTTTATTTGTGGCGTCTGGACGAAGGTAAATGACCCTCACGACCACTGGGAGACGACTGTCCCAGTCGTGGCCCAGCAAATGTGCAGCTTCGGAGACACGAGGCCAAAGATTCCACAAGCATTCCGCAGATTGATGTTTGATGTATCTTGACACTCACTTTTGGTGAGTTTGAATGTTGAAAAAGTTGGTAGGGGAATGAAACCGTTGCCATCCAATCGATAAAAATCGCGTCCTTTAGCGTGGTCTATACATGTCTGACCAGTTCTGCCCAAGCAGCGGCCAGTGTGTAGGGTACCCCTTTCTCAGAGTTACTTCCCGAAGCTCTACATGTGAATCTTGTGAAGCTGCAGGTTAGTGCTTCCAGAGCAGATTGTGGACGAGTGGCTCTCTGCAATTGGCTCTGTGCAATGCTACCGCCATCGCATCATGATGTCATCATATCATGTCATCTTGACTCACCAAGGTTGGTGTCGCTGCTCTCGCATGCCGGCCAAACAGACCCACGCTTTCGCCATGGAGCCTCGGCTTCGGATCAAAGTCGGCAATATTAGTAAGTTGCAAGGACTTGGCCTTCCTGTGTTAGTGTTCCCCTGGACGCTCTGGCCGTGTTCGCAGCTCACCGGCTGCTGCGACAAGTCCGTCCCGCTTTGAAGCGCTCTGCGTTGGCTTCTGTTGCTCAGCGTGTTACTTGCAGAGGCGCGAAGATCTTCTGCAAGTGTGGTGGTCGTCAACGTTCGAAACCTCGCTTGGCTTGGAGCTGCCATCAATGCGCTGGATGCTCTTAAGTTGTTTGGGCGTACGGAGTCTCGGTTGGAGGAGAGGCTCTTTGCGAAGGAGGTCTCTGCTACTCCTCCGTCGCCGCTTGTGGTTGACTGCAGTGGGCTCGTTGACGACGTCGCGCGCGCGCGCGCGCGCGCGAGTTGGACGTGGGCTTCTCCGAGGACCGGGGCTCGTTCATTGGCACGGACGGCTCGGCCGTACACGATGTCTCGGCTTGGTCCGTCGTGAGACGCGCTGACTTGGCATTGGTTCGCGCCGCTGCGAGACTTGCAGCTTGCGAGTGGGAGACCAAGGCGATTCGTGCTCTCGCCGTGGTTGCTGACTGTCTTTACAGTTTTTTTGGTTGAGCTGCTTTTTGGATTGCTTTGTGTTTGACTGATGGCTAGAACGTTGTCATCCTGCCATTGTTTTCCTAAAGGAGAGGAACGGGGATGATTGAGGTGGGTTGTTCTTTTCCAAACACCCTCCGCGGCCCCCGTGGCCTCGGCAGATATTGACAGCGTTTGTACTGTCACTGTTCGCACTGTGCTGATTCTGGCAAAATCTACCTGTTTTCAATGTCGTTGCTGTGGCGCCCTTTCTTGTGCCAGGCACCCACCCTCCAAAGACTCCCAGCGCGGCCTCTGCGCGGCGAGCGGCGACTGAGCTACTGAGCGCCTGCGGGAACGAGACAGTGGTAGACTTTTGGCAGATCGATGGTCTTCTTGGAAGCGTCCTTGTGGTTATCATCTCCGAGCCTGTAAGCCTGTTCAAGCTACCTTCCGGGATTTTGAGAGGGCCGTGGGGGGGCAGCAGATCCCATATAGGCATCCTTGAGGAGATGGAATTTGGGGAATTCCGAAAACAAAACCCCCCAATACATAGAATATGCCTCAGGCGTGGCCGAACCATAAACAGAATATGAAAGAATATCTATCTGGCATACCCGGAATCTGCAAGGAAGCCCACCCCAAGACCCAAAGACACACTTTCAGCAATGGACTTTTGCAATCCAGCTCCACCCCCGCCATTTGGGAGCCTAGCAATCATCGCAGGACGGGGCTTATGTGGAGTTCCCTCCCCACAATGGAACCGAGGCTGTAGGCATTGAAGCAGGAGCTGCGGAGCAATTCGGGCATGCAGCAGTCCTGCAGCCTCTGAGCGAAGTTGCATGCCGTAAATACGTGTTATTGTTGAAGGCCGCCCCGCCTAACCCAAAAAGGCTGGCATGCGCAGCCGCCCCCAACCACGTTCTATCTATGGGGTCGGGAGGACATCCAGATTCGAAAATGCTCCCGAATCATATTCTATTTATGGGGTCGGGAAGCAACCCAGACATCGAAAACAATCCCCCCCAAAAATCCAGCTACTTGAGCGTGCTTAATGCCTATGGGGCCAAAGGAGTTCCAATGTCACGTCGGTGTATCGCACGGACACACGATGCAACACAAAATTCTAGCTTAAAGAAGTGCGAAAGTCTTGAAACTGTGAGATACAAGGAGAAGACGCTGCCACTGTTGAAGCACCACTGGGATGAGGTGAAGATTGCGGCCATGACCGTGCCTCTCGTTAGGCAAAGCGACTCTTCGCCTCTTCGTTTTGCAACTTGGGGGGCTAAGGGGAACGTCGAGATTAAGTTTTTGCTGATCCGGTGAGGTAAACTTTGCTATTGCCTTCGTAGTGAACTCTAGACTTAGAGTCTGCCAGCATGGTCAACCAGGTTCTGACATCTGCCCTTGACCTCTCTTGACTCAGGCTTGGGCGAAGGGCTCTCGAAGATGAAGCGTTGATTGCCGAGCTCACCAGTTTTATCCATTCTGGATCGTCTGCCGTGGCGCAGACAGCTGTGACTGCATTGGGCCAGGCACGGAAAAGATATGAGGCTGTGTTGAGAGCGGTCAGACGGATTCATTGCTTGGTGCAGTAGTAGGTTCACTGCTGCACTCGGGAGCGACAAGTGCATTCACAGGTGGGCAAGGGCAACGAGCAGGCCATCGCCACTCTCAGATCGTGTCTGTCGCATGCAGATGGCTGGGTGCGCAGAAGCACGCCTGCGGCCTTGCTCTGCGCCGAATCTCAGCCCCAGACTGGCTTTCATATGCTTTGAGTGCCGCAGTTTTCAGGTTGGATTTTGCTTGCTCTTTGCTCTTTACATGGCTCTACCCCGTGTACCCGTGTAGGCTGGTTGCAAAGGCTGGCCCCAGCGCCGTGGCGGAGTTGCAGCGGCTCTGCGCGCAGGGCGATGTCGAGGCGTTGGGAAGCACACCATAAGCAATGCAATGCAAGACGACTTGGAAGATACCTGACAAGCATGCAGCAACGTTTGACCACCAAATGCCGACTGCGTCCACTGTCAGGTTGCGGAGGCGTCGCTAAGAGCTCTGTCTCCGGAACATGCGCGAGCTGCGGCCGCCCAAGCGTTGAATCACCAGGCACACTGACTCTGACTCATCGGCTTCTCAACCGAGTGTAAGCTATTGTAAGCTTCGTTGAGCAGTCGTTGCATGGAGGACATGTCGAGTGCAACTGTGGCATTAGCCGTGCCTGGCTTTCAGGAGCCCTACATCCAAGTCGTGGCTGGAAATCAGCTGTTGAAGCTGCACCGGATCTCAGACCTCCTTTTCGACGTGAGCTCTGGGCACCTAAGGCTCGCTCAGACACGGCATTAAGAGCCGTGAAACGATGTTGCAGTGAACCTTCTGTAGGGAAATCGCCCTCAGATTCATGTATGTACGGATATACATATATGTGTATGCGTTATATCTACACAGTATTTGAAAATCATTGCGTATTTTATGTATCCATTTATATTGCATGTACGCATGTATGCATGTATGCATGTATGCATGTATGCATGTATGTATGTATGTATGTATGTATGTATATACATACATGCATACATACATACATGCTATATCAAGACACAGCAAACATATCAAGACATGTCAAGACATATCCAGACAGCCGGTTTATGCACGTTTCGTGTAGATATTTGGTCTGTCAGAACCTGTGGTACAAGAGCATTCTTCACGGCTCGGTTCGACCGTCGGCCGTTTCATCGTACTTGCAGGAAGTTCTCCAGCCAACAGCATGCGTTTCTACAGGATGACACAAGCCACGACTCAACGTTACACTCGCTACTGCACATATGCGTCTCGTCAGCAAACCTGGTGCTGCGCAGCGAAACACAACCGGCAATCGCTTCAATGTCACGCACGCCGGCATGGCAGCCGTCCTGCTCGTAATTGCCCCTGAGGTGTTTAGACAACTTCGTATACTTCATGAGAGAGGGGCAAAAGGACGAACCGGAGGCTCACCCTTTCAGTCACTTTCCGAAAACACGAATGCGTGACAATGTGCCAGGCGCCCTCTACAGAGGTCTTTGTGGCTGTTGCCGATGTTGTTCGGCGCCGGGAGATCTCCGAAACGAAGCGGATTTGCATTAGCGACGCATCTGCGCTTGAGGGTTTTACACTGGGGGGGGACGGGGGGGGGCGGGGGGTGCTTGGCAAGCCTTGAACGGTCTTTTCCAGGTTCTACATGTGTTTTGTTACTTGCGAAGCTGGGCTTCTCGTGTTCACTCTAAGCCTGAGTCTCAGCAAAGGTTGCAAGAGAGCATGCCCGCCTCCAATTCGGCCGCCCCGAAACGCTTCAGCGCCTAAGTCCCCAGACAAACTCATCCCAGCAACTCATCCAAACATGTCAGCACCTAGTGGCAGGGTCATGGGACCTGCTGTTGAAAGTTTAGCTGTTAGGGCTATAATCCAACCTCCACTTTGGGTAGCGTATATAAGGCCAGTTAAGGGGATTATACGTACGAGTATGATGAACCAAAGAGTGTAACCGGTTAGCACGTCCCATGAACCTTCAGGTAAAAGACTTAAGCCCTTACGATTGCAAGCCTGAGGCTTGAGAGGCTTAGAGGTGTGATCGAAATGAAGCCCCGCTTTGCCCCGTTACTGTGGCCATCCTTTTCCACCAGGCTCGTGGACCGGGGGGGGGAGACCGGAAGCAAAAAACACCATGACGTATTGTACTAGAACTATTTCTATTATGATTATTATTCTCAGTAGTATCATGAAATATTATTTGTGCGCATATCCAGCCACAGCTGAAGCAGAGTGGCCGAGATGCATCAACGTGCCCATAAATACATCAGCGAAACGCCCCTGTTTTCCGAACATGTGCCGTCAATATATGTTTGGTTCTGCATGACCCAGAGTGGGAGGATGATGTGGGTTCTTTGACATGTCGGTGAGCGAGTAGATTCTCACATGTTTTGTACGCCCTCAGGCTTCCTCTATGCCCTGGGCATTTGGTTGCAGCACACAGAGGCTTCTCGGTGCAGACATGAACCCCCCGTAGAGCCTGAGTACGGAGCATCCTCAAGCTTACCCTAAACCCTAAACCCTAAATCCCTAAAACCCTAAACCCTAAACCCTAAACCCTAAACCCTAAACCTTAAACCCTAAACCCTAAACCCTAAACCCTAAACCCTAAACCCTAACCCCTAAACCCTAAACCCTAAACCCTAAAAAACCCTAAACCCTAAATCCTCAAGCTTAAACAGTCCTACAAGGCCTCAGAAGAAGCCTTGCAAAGTGGACTGAGGCCATCAACCTGCTTCAGGAGCTTGTGGAAGCACCTTGCCCCATCCGGAAACGCTTGTGAAGGGGCATTTGAGAAGCTGACCTTGTGTGTGATGGAGCGTTTGTGTTCCTCAGACTCGAGAAAGTTTGGGGCCGAAGATTTGGGGTTTGAGGCTGCGCAGCGCGACTGGTTTTCTCCGCGCAGGGACTAACTAAGTTTCGACTGGCACCTGATAGTAATGATAAACCAATGTCCTAAAACATACACGCAAAGATATTCAGAGCAATGCAGTGAATTCGACTATCACGGCACGCTCAGGAGAAGCTGTGGCATCCGCTCCCGGTAGCACAGGACGGAAACGGAGCTGTGGAATGTTGTGCATGCGCTTGAATATTAGTGTGACGACGGCAACAACTTGAGATGCCCAATCCTGTGCAGGAGGCTGTGCGGCTGCTTCGCGAGAAGCCAAAACCAAAGATGAGGAAGATGATGAAGGCACCTTCACCCATGAGCCCGTGTTTTTTGCCCAGGCCTTAGTAAGACCTCCCTGGTGCAAGCTTTCAAGTTGGCCTAGGTGAAGTGGACATCTTCCATGCTCACCTTGGATAGAGACGACGACCTGCCAGCCCCATCTGCTGATGACGAAGACCTGCAGCAGTTCTGGCATGCCTACTACGTGGACGAAGCTTGTCTTGCTTATTCCCCACCCTCGGTGTGGGGTTGTTAGATTTTAAACTCAACTCTTCTCCTCGCCCGAACTCTCCTCCTCTACTCCTCACTCATCGGTGTGCCCAACCCCAAAGTATCCTTGGAGTGCCCAACCCCAGAGTGTCCCCGGAGTGGCTGGCCCAGAGTCTTCCTGGAGTGTCCAACCCAGAGTCTAGAGTGCCCAACCCAAGTTTTCCCAAAGCACATGCTCCCGGATTCCCAGCCCCAGAGTCTCCCAGAGTGCCCAACCCCAGTCTATCTGGAGTGCCCACCAGAGTCTCAGAGTGTCCCCGGAGTGCCCAGCCCCAAGACTCCCTGCAGTGCCGAACCCCAGAGTCTGCCTAAAGTGCCCAATCCCAGAGTGTCCGCGGAGTACCCAGCCCCAGAGTATCCCTGGAGTGCCCAACCCTAGAGTATCTCTGCCAAGAGAGGGTGGGGATGTTCGAAGTAAAGTTGCGCATCGCTTTGCTACTCCTTTTTGGCATGTCCCTTTGCGTGGCACGGAGGGCTTCTCGGCTCACGTCAACCAGACTGACGCATTGGAGAGTGGACCTGACGGGGCGTCGTGATCCCCATTGCGCACTGGAGCCGATCCCAGCGTTCATCCTGAAGCCCGAGCACCTACAACCCTAAACTTGAGCTCTGCACCCAAAAGGGTGGCAGAAGGTAGCAGCATGCCGCGGCGTGGTCCGGAACCAAGCTAGACATGGTAGAACTCGGCTGCACCAGGCTACCGACCGCCTGACTCTATTGAGTCCATTCAGTTACTATCAGGTGGATCCACCCAAGGTGAGATCCACACTTGCCTCTATGTGCAATGGAGGGCAGAAAAGTAGAAGAACTGGCTTCTTGTTTTGGTGCAACAGACAGTCAGCAGGTGAGCCAAGCACCCTGAATCCCCCCCCCCCCCGCGGCGTGCGATTATTTGAATCACATGGCCGCTTAGCATGCAGCGCAAGGTGCTGCTGGCAAATGGGGGCAGACGGCAGAAGATGGCAGTTTGCGCATCCATGCATCTCGCGCACCAGCTAAGTGGACCGGGCAGCTTCTGGAGTAAGAGACTGGGGACGAGACCGGAAGATAGAAACTGGCCACCATGGGCTGGCAACCCGATGCCGTTGGACATGCTACGCATATGTCATCATATGTCTGCACTGGCGCATCACAAGACGTTCGCAACTGTCCTCCTGCTTCCAGCTGACGTCTCTGCGCCTGTCTCTGTGAGTGTGTGAGTGTGTGTGTGTGTGTGTGTGTGTGTGCGTGTGCATGTGTCTGCCGAAGATTTCGGCCCATCAGCAACATCAGCAGAGGTCGTCGTGGCAGGTGCAGCGTCAGGTGTGAGGATGGGGCGCTTCGTTCAGTTCCTTTGGTCCTCCTTGGCCTGCGGAGTGGCATGCGTTGCGTCGGAAGACTGCGCAGGCGCGGATTGCTCCGACGCTTCCGCGGTACTTCAGCACAAGACTAAGGCCAAGGGCCGAAGCACTCACTCTCACAGTGGGCGCGAGTGTTCCAAGCCTTATCCCTTCATCTGGGACAATGACGCGAACTACGACGACACCTTGGCGCTCTTGTACCTGGCGCACAGTGAGAACCTCGATTGGAAGGCGATCACGATCGAGTCGGATGGGATGGGAACCCCACATGGAGGGCCCACGAACATTGCAGCCGCGGCAAGCCTGGTTGGCTTGGGTGATGTTCCCATTGCCATGGGGGGCCTCTCGAGCTTGAGCCCGATTGCCACCATGCCTTTGCAGTGGCGTCTTGAGACCGATGAGTTCTTTGAGCGGATGTTTAGAGGCGGGATCTTGGATGAGACCGACAGTGCAATCGTGGACTTGACGGCGGCACAGCTGATCGTGAAGATCTTGACGGAGTCCGCCTGCCCCGTGGTCATTCTAACCACAGGCCCAGCAACCAATGTCGGAGCCTGAGCTACAGTGAGCTATACAGTGAGCTCATGCTGTTCGCTACCCAGCTCCAGCTCTCTTTTTTTGTTCTCTCTCTCTCGCTCTCTCCCTCTCTCTCTCTCTCTCTCTCTCTCTCTCTCTCTCTCTGTCTGAGCTTTTGAAAGCTTAGCCCGCGGATCGTGATCGCTTCGCGCGAGCTGAGGTGGCAGAAGCACTGGACATGGATCCGTCGATTGCAGGGAACATCCACGGGATCTACATGATGGGTTCTGCCTACGGCGTTCCAGGCACCAACAATGTCTACGATTGGCAAATGACATACAACGGTGTGAAGGGCTCCTGCACCGAAGACGGGGGCCAGACCTACACGGGCCTGTCGCCTCCACTTAACAGGAGCGGAGTGGTAAGCGCGATTCGTCCAGAATGCCGAGGCGTTGACATGACTGCACACGGCGACACAGAGTGGAACGTCTTCATGGACGTACGTGCATGGCACATGGTCTACGGCTTTCTGAAAGACTTGCCTGCGCATCACGTCTATGTCTTGGCTGCAAATGCTACGCTGAACATGCCGGTGACACTCGAAGAAATGGAGGAGTATGCAGCTAGGCGGTGCAAATACTTCTTTCATGGCCAGGAGCATGCAAGCTAGGAGTACTCAGAGTTGTTTTGCACGTTGCTATCCAGTTTCAACGTCAGGCAGCAACGCTGGCGGATCCAGGCCTCAGGATCTTTGTCACCGAGCTGGCCAAGGCCTTCCTCGCAGCCGGAGAAGCCAAGTGGTGGGATGCTCAGTGTGCGGTGGTGATGGACCAAGTCTTGTCAGGGCTGAAGCAAGGTGTGTGCTCCAACTGGTACGATGACAAGTTGACCAGTGTATCCCTCGTGTGGAGATCCAATCTTACTGATGGTGAGCTGAACCCTTATGGTAGCGTCTATGACGACGCGGACGCGCACGCTCCCCCGATCGACTACTGCTTAGATGGTAACGTAACCCAGATGTGGGAGGTCTACTGGCCCATGGTCAACCAGACCGGCTAGAGTGGCCGCTGGCCTACAAGGGTCCCTTGCCCCCAAAGCATAGCAGGTGACCCATACGTGGCATCTGCTTGGTGCAATGGCTACACTATTGTATGGCCAAGTTTCGCATTTCGCACTGAACTGATCTCAATCGTTTCAGTATGTTTTAGTCGTTCGTTGAAAGCTTCGCATTCCCGGCCTGGGAACCCCCTTGGAACGTCGAGATCGGCGGTTCCTGGCCTCGGGAACGAATCTTGGAGCGACTACTTTCGGTCGCAGATGGTGGAGCCAAGGATCAACAAAAGGCGCTGTGACCTCCAGGCTTCTCTTCTCTCTGTGTATGTGTGTGTGTGTGTGTGTGTGTTTGTGTGCGCGTGCGTCTGCCGAAGATTTCGGCTCATCAGCATCAGCAGAGGTCGTCGTGGCAGGTGCAGCGTCAGGTGTGAGGATGGGGCGCTTCGTTCAGTTCCTTTGGTCCTCCTTGGCCTGCGGAGTGGCATGCGTTGCTTCCGAAGACTGCGCAGGCGCGGATTGCTCCGACGCTTCCGCGGTACTGCAGCACAAGACTAAGGCCAAGGGCCGAAGCACTCACTCTCACAGTGGGCGCGAGTGTTCCAAGCCTTATCCCTTCATCTGGGACAATGACGCGAACTACGACGACACCTTGGCGCTCTTGTACCTTGCGCACAGTGAGAACCTCGATTGGAAGGCGATCACGATCGAGTCGGATGGGATGGGAACCCCACATGGAGGGCCCACGAACATTGCAGCCGCGGCAAGCCTGGTTGGCTTGGGTGATGTTCCCATTGCCATGGGGGGCCTCTCGAGCTTGAGCCCGATTGCCACTATGCCTTTGCAGTGGCGTCTTGAGACCGATGAGTTCTTTGAGCGGATGTTTAGAGGCGGGATCTTGGATGAGACCGACAGTGCAATCGTGGACTTGACTGCGGCACAGCTGATCGTGAAGATCTTGACGGAGTCCGCCTGCCCCGTGGTCATTCTAACCACAGGCCCAGCAACCAATGTCGGAGCCTGAGCTACAGTGAGCTATACAGTGAGCTCATGCTGTTCGCTACCCAGCTCCAGCTCTCTTTTTTTGTTCTCTCTCTCTCGCTCTCTCTCGCGCTCTCTCTCTCTCTCTCTCTCTCTTTCTCGCTCGCTCGAGCTCTATCTCGCTCTGACCAGCTTAGCCCGCGGATCGTGATCGCTTCGCGCGAGCTGAGGTGGCAGAAGCACTGGACATGGATCCATCGATTGCAGGGAACATCCACGGGATCTACATGATGGGTTCTGCCTACGGCGTTCCAGGCACCAACAATGTCTACGATTGGCAAATGACATACAACGGTGTGAAGGGCTCCTGCACCGAAGACGGGGGCCAGACCTACACCGGCCTGTCGCCTCCACTTAACAGGAGCGGAGTGGTAAGCGCGATTCGTCCAGAATGCCGAGGAGTTGACATGACTGCACACGGCGACACAGAGTGGAACGTCTTCATGGACGTACGTGCATGGCACATGGTCTACGGCTTTCTGAAAGACTTGCCTGCGGATCACGTCTATGTCTTGGCTGCAAATGCTACGCTGAACATGCCGGTGACACTCGAAGAAATGGAGGAGTATGCAGCTAGGCGGTGCAAATATTTCTTTCATGGCCAGGAGCATGCAAGCTAAATGCAAGCTAAGAGTACTCAGAGTTGTTTTGCACGTTGCTATCCAGTTTCAACGTCAGGCAGCAACGCTGGCGGATCCAGGCCTCAGGATCTTTGTCACCGAGCTGGCCAAGGCCTTCCTCGCAGCCGGAGAAGCCAAGTGGTGGGATGCTCAGTGTGCGGTGGTGATGGACCAAGTCTTGTCAGGGCTGAAGCAAGGTGTGTGCTCCAACTGGTTCGAGGACAAGTTGACCAGTGTATCCCTCGTGTGGAGATCCAATCTTACTGATGGTGAGCTGAACCCTTATGGTAGCGTCTATGACGACGCAGACGCACACGCTCCCCCGATCGACTACTGCTTAGATGGTAACGTAACCCAGATGTGGGAGGTCTACTGGCCCATGGTCAACCAGACCGGCTAGAGTGGCCGCTGGCCTACAAGGGTCCCTTGCCCCCAAAGCATAGCAGGTGACCCATACGTGGCATCTGCTTGGTGCAATAGCTACACTATTGTATGGCCAAGTTTCGCATTTCGCACTGAACTGATCTCAATCGTTTCAGTATGTTTTAGTCGTTCGTTGAAAGCTTCGCATTCCCGGCCTGGGAACCCCCTTGGAACGTCGAGATCGGCGGTTCCCGGCCTCGGGAACGAATCTTGGAGCGCCTACTTTCGGTCGCAGATGGTGGAGCCAAGGATCAACAAAAGGCGCTGTGACCTCCATGCTTCTCTTCCCTCTGTGTGTGTGTGTGTGTGTGTGTGTGTGTGTGTTTGTGTGCGCATGCGTCTGCCGAAGATTTCGGCTCATCAGCATCAGCAGAGGTCGTCGTGGCAGGTGCAGCGTCAGGTGTGAGGATGGGGCGCTTCGTTCAGTTCCTTTGGTCCTCCTTGGCCTGCGGAGTGGCATGCGTTGCTTCCGAAGACTGCGCAGGCGCGGATTGCTCCGACGCTTCCGCGGTACTGCAGCACAAGACTAAGGCCAAGGGCCGAAGCACTCACTCTCACAGTGGGCGCGAGTGTTCCAAGCCTTATCCCTTCATCTGGGACAATGACGCGAACTACGACGACACCTTGGCGCTCTTGTACCTGGCGCACAGTGAGAACCTCGATTGGAAGGATTTGGAAGGCGATCACGATCGAGTCGGATGGGATGGGAACCCCACATGGAGGGCCCACGAACATTGCAGCTGCGGCAAGCCTGGTTGGCTTGGGTGATGTTCCCATTGCCATGGGGGGCCTCTCGAGCTTGAGCCCGATTGCCACCATGCCTTTGCAGTGGCGTCTTGAGACCGATGAGTTCTTTGAGCGGATGTTTAGAGGCGGGATCTTGGATGAGACCGACAGTGCAATCGTGGACTTGACTGCGGCACAGCTGATCGTGAAGATCTTGACGGAGTCCGCCTGCCCCGTGGTCATTCTAACCACAGGCCCAGCAACCAATGTCGGAGCCTGAGCTACAGTGAGCTATACAGTGAGCTCATGCTGTTCGCTACCCAGCTCCAGCTCTCTTTTTTTGTTCTCTCTCTCTCGCTCTCTCTCGCGCTCTCTCTCTCTCTCTCTCTCTTTCTCGCTCGCTCGAGCTCTATCTCGCTCTGACCAGCTTAGCCCGCGGATCGTGATCGCTTCGCGCGAGCTGAGGTGGCAGAAGCACTGGACATGGATCCATCGATTGCAGGGAACATCCACGGGATCTACATGATGGGTTCTGCCTACGGCGTTCCAGGCACCAACAATGTCTACGATTGGCAAATGACATACAACGGTGTGAAGGGCTCCTGCACCGAAGACGGGGGCCAGACCTACACCGGCCTGTCGCCTCCACTTAACAGGAGCGGAGTGGTAAGCGCGATTCGTCCAGAATGCCGAGGAGTTGACATGACTGCACACGGCGACACAGAGTGGAACGTCTTCATGGACGTACGTGCATGGCACATGGTCTACGGCTTTCTGAAAGACTTGCCTGCGCATCACGTCTATGTCTTGGCTGCAAATGCTACGCTGAACATGCCGGTGACACTCGAAGAAATGGAGGAGTATGCAGCTAGGCGGTGCAAATACTTCTTTCATGGCCAGGAGCATGCAAGCTAAATGCAAGCTAAGAGTACTCAGAGTTGTTTTGCACGTTTCTATCCAGTTTCAACACGTTTCAACGTCAGGCAGCAACGCTGGCGGATCCAGGCCTCAGGATCTTTGTCACCGAGCTGGCCAAGGCCTTCCTGGCAGCCGGAGAAGCCAAGTGGTGGGATGCTCAGTGTGCGGTGGTGATGGACCAAGTCTTGTCAGGGCTGAAGACGGGTGTGTGCTCCAACTGGTACGATGACAAGTTGACCAGTGTATCCCTCGTGTGGAGATCCAATCTTACTGATGGTGAGCTGAACCCTTATGGTAGCGTCTATGACGACGCGGACGCGCACGCTCCCCCGATCGACTACTGCTTAGATGGTAACGTAACCCAGATGTGGGAGGTCTACTGGCCCATGGTCAACCAGACCGGCTAGAGTGGCCGCTGGCCTACAAGGGTCCCTTGCCCCCAAAGCATAGCAGGTGACCCATACGTGGCATCTGCTTGGTGCAATGGCTACACTATTGTATGGCCAAGTTTCGCATTTCGCACTGAACTGATCTCAATCGTTTCAGTATGTTTTAGTCGTTCGTTGAAAGCTTCGCATTCCCGGCCTGGGAACCCCCTTGGAATGTCGAGATCGGCGGTTCCTGGCCTCGGGAAACGAATCTTGGAGCGACTACTTTCGGTCGCAGATGGTGGAGCCAAGGATCAACAAAAAGGCGCCGTGACCTCCATGCTTCTCTTCTCTCTGTGTATGTGTGTGTGTGTGTGTGTGTGTGTTTGTGTGCGCATGCGTCTGCCGAAGATTTCGGCTCATCAGCATCAGCAGAGGTCGTCGTGGCAGGTGCAGCGTCAGGTGTGAGGATGGGGCGCTTCGTTCAGTTCCTTTGGTCCTCCTTGGCCTGCGGAGTGGCATGCGTTGCTTCCGAAGACTGCGCAGGCGCAGATTGCTCCGACGCTTCCGCGGTACTGCAGCACAAGACTAAGGCCAAGGGCCGAAGCACTCACTCTCACAGTGGGCGCGAGTGTTCCAAGCCTTATCCCTTCATCTGGGACAATGACGCGAACTACGACGACACCTTGGCGCTCTTGTACCTGGCGCACAGTGAGAACCTCGATTGGAAGGCGATCACGATCGAGTCGGATGGGATGGGAACCCCACATGGAGGGCCCACGAACATTGCAGCCGCGGCAAGCCTGGTTGGCTTGGGTGATGTTCCCATTGCCATGGGGGGCCTCTCGAGCTTGAGTCCGATTGCCACCATGCCTTTGCAGTGGCGTCTTGAGACCGATGAGTTCTTTGAGCGGATGTTTAGAGGCGGGATCTTGGATGAGACCGACAGGGCAATCGTGGACTTGACTGCGGCACAGCTGATCGTGAAGATCTTGACGGAGTCCGCCTGCCCCGTGGTCATTCTAACCACAGGCCCAGCAACCAATGTCGGAGCCTGAGCTACAGTGAGCTATAATGTGAGCTCATGCTGTTCGCTCTGACAAGGTTAGCCCGCGGATCGTGATCGCTTCGCGCGAGCTGAGGTGGCAGAAGCGCTGGACATGGATCCGTCGATTGCAGGGAACATCCACGGGATCTACATGATGGGTTCTGCCTACGGCGTTCCAGGCACCAACAATGTCTACGATTGGCAAATGACATACAACGGTGTGAAGGGCTCCTGCACCGAAGACGGGGGCCAGACCTACACCGGCCTGTCGCCTCCACTTAACAGGAGCGGAGTGGTAAGCGCGATTCGTCCAGAATGCCGAGGAGTTGACATGACTGCACACGGCGACACAGAGTGGAACGTCTTCATGGACGTACGTGCATGGCACATGGTCTACGGCTTTCTGAAAGACTTGCCTGCGCATCACGTCTATGTCCTGGCTGCAAATGCCACGCTGAACATGCCGGTGACACTCGAAGAAATGGAGGAGTATGCAGCTAGGCGGTGCAAATACTTCTTTCATGGCCAGGAGCATGCAAGCTAAATGCAAGCTAAGAGTACTCAGAGTTGTTTTGCACGTTTCTATCCAGTTTCAACACGTTTCAACGTCAGGCAGCAACGCTGGCGGATCCAGGCCTCAGGATCTTTGTCACCGAGCTGGCCAAGGCCTTCCTGGCAGCCGGAGAAGCCAAGTGGTGGGATGCTCAGTGTGCGGTGGTGATGGACCAAGTCTTGTCAGGGCTGAAGACGGGTGTGTGCTCCAACTGGTACGATGACAAGTTGACCAGTGTATCCCTCGTGTGGAGATCCAATCTTACTGATGGTGAGCTGAACCCTTATGGTAGCGTCTATGACGACGCGGACGCGCACGCTCCCCCGATCGACTACTGCTTAGATGGTAACGTAACCCAGATGTGGGAGGTCTACTGGCCCATGGTCAACCAGACCGGCTAGAGTGGCCGCTGGCCTACAAGGGTCCCTTGCCCCCAAAGCATAGCAGGTGACCCATACGTGGCATCTGCTTGGTGCAATGGCTACACTATTGTATGGCCAAGTTTCGCATTTCGCACTGAACTGATCTCAATCGTTTCAGTATGTTTTAGTCGTTCGTTGAAAGCTTCGCATTCCCGGCCTGGGAACCCCCTTGGAACGTCGAGATCGGCGGTTCCCGGCCTCGGGAACGAATCTTGGAACGCCTACTTTCGGTCGCAGATGGTGGAGCCAAGGATCAACAAAAGGCGCTGTGACCTCCAGGCTTCTCTTCTGTGTGTGTGTGTGTGTGTGTTTGTGTGCGCATGGGTCTGCCGAAGATTTCGGCTCATCAGCATCAGCAGAGGTCGTCGTGGCAGGTGCAGCGTCAGGTGTGAGGATGGGGCGCTTCGTTCAGTTCCTTTGGTCCTCCTTGGCCTGCGGAGTGGCATGCGTTGCTTCCGAAGACTGCGCAGGCGCAGATTGCTCCGACGCTTCCGCGGTACTGCAGCACAAGACTAAGGCCAAGGGCCGAAGCACTCACTCTCACGGTGGGCGCGAGTGTTCCAAGCCTTATCCCTTCATCTGGGACAATGACGCGAACTACGACGACACCTTGGCGCTCTTGTACCTGGCGCACAGTGAGAACCTCGATTGGAAGGCGATCACGATCGAGTCGGATGGGATGGGAACCCCACATGGAGGGCCCACGAACATTGCAGCCGCGGCAAGCCTGGTTGGCTTGGGTGATGTTCCCATTGCCATGGGGGGCCTCTCGAGCTTGAGTCCGATTGCCACCATGCCTTTGCAGTGGCGTCTTGAGACCGATGAGTTCTTTGAGCGGATGTTTAGAGGCGGGATCTTGGATGAGACCGACAGGGCAATCGTGGACTTGACTGCGGCACAGCTGATCGTGAAGATCTTGAACGAGTCCGCCTGCCCCGTGGTCATTCTAACCACAGGCCCAGCAACCAATGTCGGAGCCTGAGCTACAGTGAACTATATAGTGAGCTCATGCTGTTCGCTACCCAGCTCCAGCTCTCTTTTTTTGTTCTCGCTCTCTCTCACTCTCTCTCTCTCTCTCTCTCGCTCGCTCGCTCGCTCGCGCGCTCTCTCTCTCTCTCTGTTTCTCTTTTGCTCTGAGCTTAGCACAAGCTTAGCCCGCGGGTCGTGATCGCTTCGCGCGAGCTGAGGTGGCAGAAGCGCTGGACATGGATCCATCCATTGCAGGGAACATCCACGGGATCTACATGATGGGTTCTGCCTACGGCGTTCCAGGCACCAACAATGTCTACGATTGGCAAATGACATACAACGGTGTGAAGGGCTCCTGCACCGAAGACGGGGGCCAGACCTACACGGGCCTGTCGCCTCCGCTTAACAGGAGCGGAGTGGTAAGCGCGATTCGTCCAGAATGCCGAGGAGTTGACATGACTGCACACGGCGACACAGAGTGGAACGTCTTCATGGACGTACGTGCATGGCACATGGTCTACGGCTTTCTGAAAGACTTGCCTGCGGATCACGTCTATGTCTTGGCTGCAAATGCTACGCTGAACATGCCGGTGACACTCGAAGAAATGGAGGAGTATGCAGCTAGGCGGTGCAAATATTTCTTTCATGGCCAGGAGCATGCAAGCTAGGAGTACTCAGAGTTGTTTTGCACGTTTCTCTCCAGTTTCAACGTCAGGCAGCAACGCTGGCGGATCCAGGCCTCAGGATCTTTGTCACCGAGCTGGCCAAGGCCTTCCTCGCAGCCGGAGAAGCCAAGTGGTGGGATGCTCAGTGTGCGGTGGTGATGGACCAAGTCTTGTCAGGGCTGAAGCAAGGTGTGTGCTCCAACTGGTTCGAGGACAAGTTGACCAGTGTATCCCTCGTATGGAGATCCAATCTTACTGATGGTGAGCTGAACCCTTATGGTAGCGTCTATGACGATGAGGACGCGCACGCTCCCCCGATCGACTACTGCTTAGATGGTAACGTAACCCAGATGTGGGAGGTCTACTGGCCCATGGTCAACCAGACCGGCTAGAGTGGCCGCTGGCCTACAAGGGTCCCTTGCCCCCAAAGCATAGCAGGTGACCCATACGTGGCATCTGCTTGGTGCAATGGCTACACTATTGTATGGCCAAGTTTCGCATTTCGCACTGAACTGATCTCAATCGTTTCAGTATGTTTTAGTCGTTCGTTGAAAGCTTCGCATTCCCGGCCTGGGAACCCCCTTGGAACGTCGAGATCGGCGGTTCCCGGCCTCGGGAACGAATCTTGGAGCGCCTACTTTCGGTCGCAGATGGTGGAGCCAAGGATCAACAAAAGGCGCTGTGACCTCCAGGCTTCTCTTCTCTCTGTGTGTGTGTGTGTGTGTGTTTGTGTGCGCATGGGTCTGCCGAAGATTTCGGCTCATCAGCATCAGCAGAGGTCGTCGTGGCAGGTGCAGCGTCAGGTGTGAGGATGGGGCGCTTCGTTCAGTTCCTTTGGTCCTCCTTGGCCTGCGGAGTGGCATGCGTTGCTTCCGAAGACTGCGCAGGCGCGGATTGCTCCGACGCTTCCGCGGTACTGCAGCACAAGACTAAGGCCAAGGGCCGAAGCACTCACTCTCACAGTGGGCGCGAGTGTTCCAAGCCTTATCCCTTCATCTGGGACAATGACGCGAACTACGACGACACCTTGGCGCTCTTGTACCTTGCGCACAGTGAGAACCTCGATTGGAAGGCGATCACGATCGAGTCGGATGGGATGGGAACCCCACATGGAGGGCCCACGAACATTGCAGCCGCGGCAAGCCTGGTTGGCTTGGGTGATGTTCCCATTGCCATGGGGGGCCTCTCGAGCTTGAGTCCGATTGCCACCATGCCTTTGCAGTGGCGTCTTGAGACCGATGAGTTCTTTGAGCGGATGTTTAGAGGCGGGATCTTGGATGAGACCGACAGGGCAATCGTGGACTTGACTGCGGCACAGCTGATCGTGAAGATCTTGACGGAGTCCGCCTGCCCCGTGGTCATTCTAACCACAGGCCCAGCAACCAATGTCGGAGCCTGAGTGAGCTACAGGGAGGTATCATGTGAGCTCATGCTGCTCGCTACCCCAGCTCCAGCTCTCTTTTTGTTGTTGTCGCTCTCTCTCTCTCTCTCTCGCTCTCTCTCTCTCTCTCTCTCTTTCTCTCGCTCGCGCGAGCTGAGGTGGCAGAAGCACTGGACATGGATCCGTCGATTGCAGGGAACATCCACGGGATCTACATGATGGGTTCTGCCTACGGCGTTCCAGGCACCAACAATGTCTACGATTGGCAAATGACATACAACGGTGTGAAGGGCTCCTGCACCGAAGACGGGGGCCAGACCTACACGGGCCTGTCGCCTCCGCTTAACAGGAGCGGAGTGGTAAGCGCGATTCGTCCAGAATGCCGAGGAGTTGACATGACTGCACACGGCGACACAGAGTGGAACGTCTTCATGGACGTACGTGCATGGCACATGGTCTACGGCTTTCTGAAAGACTTGCCTGCGGATCACGTCTATGTCTTGGCTGCAAATGCTACGCTGAACATGCCGGTGACACTCGAAGAAATGGAGGAGTATGCAGCTAGGCGGTGCAAATATTTCTTTCATGGCCAGGAGCATGCAAGCTAGGAGTACTCAGAGTTGTTTTGCACGTTTCTCTCCAGTTTCAACGTCAGGCAGCAACGCTGGCGGATCCAGGCCTCAGGATCTTTGTCACCGAGCTGGCCAAGGCCTTCCTCGCAGCCGGAGAAGCCAAGTGGTGGGATGCTCAGTGTGCGGTGGTGATGGACCAAGTCTTGTCAGGGCTGAAGCAAGGTGTGTGCTCCAACTGGTTCGAGGACAAGTTGACCAGTGTATCCCTCGTATGGAGATCCAATCTTACTGATGGTGAGCTGAACCCTTATGGTAGCGTCTATGACGATCAGGACGCGCACGCTCCCCCGATCGACTACTGCTTAGATGGTAACGTAACCCAGATGTGGGAGGTCTACTGGCCCATGGTCAACCAGACCGGCTAGAGTGGCCGCTGGCCTACAAGGGTCCCTTGCCCCCAAAGCATAGCAGGTGACCCATACGTGGCATCTGCTTGGTGCAATGGCTACACTATTGTATGGCCAAGTTTCGCATTTCGCACTGAACTGATCTCAATCGTTTCAGTATGTTTTAGTCGTTCGTTGAAAGCTTCGCATTCCCGGCCTGGGAACCCCCTTGGAACGTCGAGATCGGCGGTTCCCGGCCTCGGGAACGAATCTTGGAGCGCCTACTTTCGGTCGCAGATGGTGGAGCCAAGGATCAACAAAAGGCGCTGTGACCTCCAGGCTTCTCTTTCTGTGTGTGTGTGTGTGTGTTTGTGTGCGCATGGGTCTGCCGAAGATTTCGGCTCATCAGCATCAGCAGAGGTCGTCGTGGCAGGTGCAGCGTCAGGTGTGAGGATGGGGCGCTTCGTTCAGTTCCTTTGGTCCTCCTTGGCCTGCGGAGTGGCATGCGTTGCTTCCGAAGACTGCGCAGGCGCGGATTGCTCCGACGCTTCCGCGGTACTGCAGCACAAGACTAAGGCCAAGGGCCGAAGCACTCACTCTCACAGTGGGCGCGAGTGTTCCAAGCCTTATCCCTTCATCTGGGACAATGACGCGAACTACGACGACACCTTGGCGCTCTTGTACCTTGCGCACAGTGAGAACCTCGATTGGAAGGCGATCACGATCGAGTCGGATGGGATGGGAACCCCACATGGAGGGCCCACGAACATTGCAGCCGCGGCAAGCCTGGTTGGCTTGGGTGATGTTCCCATTGCCATGGGGGGCCTCTCGAGCTTGAGTCCGATTGCCACCATGCCTTTGCAGTGGCGTCTTGAGACCGATGAGTTCTTTGAGCGGATGTTTAGAGGCGGGATCTTGGATGAGACCGACAGGGCAATCGTGGACTTGACTGCGGCACAGCTGATCGTGAAGATCTTGACGGAGTCCGCCTGCCCCGTGGTCATTCTAACCACAGGCCCAGCAACCAATGTCGGAGCCTGAGCTACAGTGAGCTATAATGTGAGCTCATGCTGTTCGCTCTGACAAGGTTAGCCCGCGGATCGTGATCGCTTCGCGCGAGCTGAGGTGGCAGAAGCGCTGGACATGGATCCGTCGATTGCAGGGAACATCCACGGGATCTACATGATGGGTTCTGCCTACGGCGTTCCAGGCACCAACAATGTCTACGATTGGCAAATGACATACAACGGTGTGAAGGGCTCCTGCACCGAAGACGGGGGCCAGACCTACACCGGCCTGTCGCCTCCACTTAACAGGAGCGGAGTGGTAAGCGCGATTCGTCCAGAATGCCGAGGAGTTGACATGACTGCACACGGCGACACAGAGTGGAACGTCTTCATGGACGTACGTGCATGGCACATGGTCTACGGCTTTCTGAAAGACTTGCCTGCGCATCACGTCTATGTCCTGGCTGCAAATGCCACGCTGAACATGCCGGTGACACTCGAAGAAATGGAGGAGTATGCAGCTAGGCGGTGCAAATACTTCTTTCATGGCCAGGAGCATGCAAGCTAAATGCAAGCTAAGAGTACTCAGAGTTGTTTTGCACGTTTCTATCCAGTTTCAACACGTTTCAACGTCAGGCAGCAACGCTGGCGGATCCAGGCCTCAGGATCTTTGTCACCGAGCTGGCCAAGGCCTTCCTGGCAGCCGGAGAAGCCAAGTGGTGGGATGCTCAGTGTGCGGTGGTGATGGACCAAGTCTTGTCAGGGCTGAAGACGGGTGTGTGCTCCAACTGGTACGATGACAAGTTGACCAGTGTATCCCTCGTGTGGAGATCCAATCTTACTGATGGTGAGCTGAACCCTTATGGTAGCGTCTATGACGACGCGGACGCGCACGCTCCCCCGATCGACTACTGCTTAGATGGTAACGTAACCCAGATGTGGGAGGTCTACTGGCCCATGGTCAACCAGACCGGCTAGAGTGGCCGCTGGCCTACAAGGGTCCCTTGCCCCCAAAGCATAGCAGGTGACCCATACGTGGCATCTGCTTGGTGCAATGGCTACACTATTGTATGGCCAAGTTTCGCATTTCGCACTGAACTGATCTCAATCGTTTCAGTATGTTTTAGTCGTTCGTTGAAAGCTTCGCATTCCCGGCCTGGGAACCCCCTTGGAACGTCGAGATCGGCGGTTCCCGGCCTCGGGAACGAATCTTGGAACGCCTACTTTCGGTCGCAGATGGTGGAGCCAAGGATCAACAAAAGGCGCTGTGACCTCCAGGCTTCTCTTCTCTGTGTGTGTGTGTGTGTGTGTTTGTGTGCGCATGGGTCTGCCGAAGATTTCGGCTCATCAGCATCAGCAGAGGTCGTCGTGGCAGGTGCAGCGTCAGGTGTGAGGATGGGGCGCTTCGTTCAGTTCCTTTGGTCCTCCTTGGCCTGCGGAGTGGCATGCGTTGCTTCCGAAGACTGCGCAGGCGCAGATTGCTCCGACGCTTCCGCGGTACTGCAGCACAAGACTAAGGCCAAGGGCCGAAGCACTCACTCTCACGGTGGGCGCGAGTGTTCCAAGCCTTATCCCTTCATCTGGGACAATGACGCGAACTACGACGACACCTTGGCGCTCTTGTACCTGGCGCACAGTGAGAACCTCGATTGGAAGGCGATCACGATCGAGTCGGATGGGATGGGAACCCCACATGGAGGGCCCACGAACATTGCAGCCGCGGCAAGCCTGGTTGGCTTGGGTGATGTTCCCATTGCCATGGGGGGCCTCTCGAGCTTGAGTCCGATTGCCACCATGCCTTTGCAGTGGCGTCTTGAGACCGATGAGTTCTTTGAGCGGATGTTTAGAGGCGGGATCTTGGATGAGACCGACAGGGCAATCGTGGACTTGACTGCGGCACAGCTGATCGTGAAGATCTTGAACGAGTCCGCCTGCCCCGTGGTCATTCTAACCACAGGCCCAGCAACCAATGTCGGAGCCTGAGCTACAGTGAACTATATAGTGAGCTCATGCTGTTCGCTACCCAGCTCCAGCTCTCTTTTTTTGTTCTCGCTCTCTCTCACTCTCTCTCTCTCTCTCTCTCGCTCGCTCGCTCGCTCGCGCGCTCTCTCTCTCTCTCTGTTTCTCTTTTGCTCTGAGCTTAGCACAAGCTTAGCCCGCGGGTCGTGATCGCTTCGCGCGAGCTGAGGTGGCAGAAGCGCTGGACATGGATCCATCCATTGCAGGGAACATCCACGGGATCTACATGATGGGTTCTGCCTACGGCGTTCCAGGCACCAACAATGTCTACGATTGGCAAATGACATACAACGGTGTGAAGGGCTCCTGCACCGAAGACGGGGGCCAGACCTACACGGGCCTGTCGCCTCCGCTTAACAGGAGCGGAGTGGTAAGCGCGATTCGTCCAGAATGCCGAGGAGTTGACATGACTGCACACGGCGACACAGAGTGGAACGTCTTCATGGACGTACGTGCATGGCACATGGTCTACGGCTTTCTGAAAGACTTGCCTGCGGATCACGTCTATGTCTTGGCTGCAAATGCTACGCTGAACATGCCGGTGACACTCGAAGAAATGGAGGAGTATGCAGCTAGGCGGTGCAAATATTTCTTTCATGGCCAGGAGCATGCAAGCTAGGAGTACTCAGAGTTGTTTTGCACGTTTCTCTCCAGTTTCAACGTCAGGCAGCAACGCTGGCGGATCCAGGCCTCAGGATCTTTGTCACCGAGCTGGCCAAGGCCTTCCTCGCAGCCGGAGAAGCCAAGTGGTGGGATGCTCAGTGTGCGGTGGTGATGGACCAAGTCTTGTCAGGGCTGAAGCAAGGTGTGTGCTCCAACTGGTTCGAGGACAAGTTGACCAGTGTATCCCTCGTATGGAGATCCAATCTTACTGATGGTGAGCTGAACCCTTATGGTAGCGTCTATGACGATGAGGACGCGCACGCTCCCCCGATCGACTACTGCTTAGATGGTAACGTAACCCAGATGTGGGAGGTCTACTGGCCCATGGTCAACCAGACCGGCTAGAGTGGCCGCTGGCCTACAAGGGTCCCTTGCCCCCAAAGCATAGCAGGTGACCCATACGTGGCATCTGCTTGGTGCAATGGCTACACTATTGTATGGCCAAGTTTCGCATTTCGCACTGAACTGATCTCAATCGTTTCAGTATGTTTTAGTCGTTCGTTGAAAGCTTCGCATTCCCGGCCTGGGAACCCCCTTGGAACGTCGAGATCGGCGGTTCCCGGCCTCGGGAACGAATCTTGGAGCGCCTACTTTCGGTCGCAGATGGTGGAGCCAAGGATCAACAAAAGGCGCTGTGGCTTCTCTTCCCTCTGTGTGTGTGTGTGTGTGTTTGTGTGCGCATGGGTCTGCCGAAGATTTCGGCTCATCAGCATCAGCAGAGGTCGTCGTGGCAGGTGCAGCGTCAGGTGTGAGGATGGGGCGCTTCGTTCAGTTCCTTTGGTCCTCCTTGGCCTGCGGAGTGGCATGCGTTGCTTCCGAAGACTGCGCAGGCGCGGATTGCTCCGACGCTTCCGCGGTACTGCAGCACAAGACTAAGGCCAAGGGCCGAAGCACTCACTCTCACAGTGGGCGCGAGTGTTCCAAGCCTTATCCCTTCATCTGGGACAATGACGCGAACTACGACGACACCTTGGCGCTCTTGTACCTTGCGCACAGTGAGAACCTCGATTGGAAGGCGATCACGATCGAGTCGGATGGGATGGGAACCCCACATGGAGGGCCCACGAACATTGCAGCCGCGGCAAGCCTGGTTGGCTTGGGTGATGTTCCCATTGCCATGGGGGGCCTCTCGAGCTTGAGTCCGATTGCCACCATGCCTTTGCAGTGGCGTCTTGAGACCGATGAGTTCTTTGAGCGGATGTTTAGAGGCGGGATCTTGGATGAGACCGACAGGGCAATCGTGGACTTGACTGCGGCACAGCTGATCGTGAAGATCTTGACGGAGTCCGCCTGCCCCGTGGTCATTCTAACCACAGGCCCAGCAACCAATGTCGGAGCCTGAGTGAGCTACAGGGAGGTATCATGTGAGCTCATGCTGCTCGCTACCCCAGCTCCAGCTCTCTTTTTGTTGTTGTCGCTCTCTCTCTCTCTCTCTCGCTCTCTCTCTCTCTCTCTCTCTTTCTCTCGCTCGCGCGAGCTGAGGTGGCAGAAGCACTGGACATGGATCCGTCGATTGCAGGGAACATCCACGGGATCTACATGATGGGTTCTGCCTACGGCGTTCCAGGCACCAACAATGTCTACGATTGGCAAATGACATACAACGGTGTGAAGGGCTCCTGCACCGAAGACGGGGGCCAGACCTACACGGGCCTGTCGCCTCCGCTTAACAGGAGCGGAGTGGTAAGCGCGATTCGTCCAGAATGCCGAGGAGTTGACATGACTGCACACGGCGACACAGAGTGGAACGTCTTCATGGACGTACGTGCATGGCACATGGTCTACGGCTTTCTGAAAGACTTGCCTGCGGATCACGTCTATGTCTTGGCTGCAAATGCTACGCTGAACATGCCGGTGACACTCGAAGAAATGGAGGAGTATGCAGCTAGGCGGTGCAAATATTTCTTTCATGGCCAGGAGCATGCAAGCTAGGAGTACTCAGAGTTGTTTTGCACGTTTCTCCAGTTTCAACACGTTTCAACGTCAGGCAGCAACGCTGGCGGATCCAGGCCTCAGGATCTTTGTCACCGAGCTGGCCAAGGCCTTCCTCGCAGCCGGAGAAGCCAAGTGGTGGGATGCTCAGTGTGCGGTGGTGATGGACCAAGTCTTGTCAGGGCTGAAGCAAGGTGTGTGCTCCAACTGGTTCGAGGACAAGTTGACCAGTGTATCCCTCGTATGGAGATCCAATCTTACTGATGGTGAGCTGAACCCTTATGGTAGCGTCTATGACGATCAGGACGCGCACGCTCCCCCGATCGACTACTGCTTAGATGGTAACGTAACCCAGATGTGGGAGGTCTACTGGCCCATGGTCAACCAGACCGGCTAGAGTGGCCGCTGGCCTACAAGGGTCCCTTGCCCCCAAAGCATAGCAGGTGACCCATACGTGGCATCTGCTTGGTGCAATAGCTACACTATTGTATGGCCAAGTTTCGCATTTCGCACTGAACTGATCTCAATCGTTTCAGTATGTTTTAGTCGTTCGTTGAAAGCTTCGCATTCCCGGCCTGGGAACCCCCTTGGAACGTCGAGATCGGCGGTTCCCGGCCTCGGGAACGAATCTTGGAGCGCCTACTTTCGGTCGCAGATGGTGGAGCCAAGGATCAACAAAAGGCGCTGTGACCTCCATGCTTCTCTTCCCTCTGTGTGTGTGTGTGTGTGTTTGTGTGCGCATGGGTCTGCCGAAGATTTCGGCTCATCAGCATCAGCAGAGGTCGTCGTGGCAGGTGCAGCGTCAGGTGTGAGGATGGGGCGCTTCGTTCAGTTCCTTTGGTCCTCCTTGGCCTGCGGAGTGGCATGCGTTGCTTCCGAAGACTGCGCAGGCGCAGATTGCTCCGACGCTTCCGCGGTACTGCAGCACAAGACTAAGGCCAAGGGCCGAAGCACTCACTCTCACAGTGGGCGCGAGTGTTCCAAGCCTTATCCCTTCATCTGGGACAATGACGCGAACTACGACGACACCTTGGCGCTCTTGTACCTGGCGCACAGTGAGAACCTCGATTGGAAGGCGATCACGATCGAGTCGGATGGGATGGGAACCCCACATGGAGGGCCCACGAACATTGCAGCCGCGGCAAGCCTGGTTGGCTTGGGTGATGTTCCCATTGCCATGGGGGGCCTCTCGAGCTTGAGTCCGATTGCCACCATGCCTTTGCAGTGGCGTCTTGAGACCGATGAGTTCTTTGAGCGGATGTTTAGAGGCGGGATCTTGGATGAGACCGACAGGGCAATCGTGGACTTGACTGCGGCACAGCTGATCGTGAAGATCTTGACGGAGTCCACCTGCCCCGTGGTCATTCTAACCACAGGCCCAGCAACCAATGTCGGAGCCTGAGCTACAGCGATCCATAATGTGAGCTCATGCTGCTCGCTGCCCCAGCACCAGCTCTCTTTTTTTTGTTCTCGCTCACTCTCTCACTCTCTCTCTCTCTCTCTCGCTCGCTCGCTCGCTCGCGCTCTCTCTCTCTCTCTCTCTCTCTGTCTCTCTTTTGCTCTGAGCTTAGCACAAGCTTAGCCCGCGGGTCGTGATCGCTTCGCGCGAGCTGAGGTGGCAGAAGCGCTGGACATGGATCCGTCGATTGCAGGGAACATCCACGGGATCTACATGATGGGTTCTGCCTACGGCGTTCCAGGCACCAACAATGTCTACGATTGGCAAATGACATACAACGGTGTGAAGGGCTCCTGCACCGAAGACGGGGGCCAGACCTACACGGGCCTGTCGCCTCCGCTTAACAGGAGCGGAGTGGTAAGCGCGATTCGTCCAGAATGCCGAGGAGTTGACATGACTGCACACGGCGACACAGAGTGGAACGTCTTCATGGACGTACGTGCATGGCACATGGTCTACGGCTTTCTGAAAGACTTGCCTGCGGATCACGTCTATGTCTTGGCTGCAAATGCTACGCTGAACATGCCGGTGACACTCGAAGAAATGGAGGAGTATGCAGCTAGGCGGTGCAAATATTTCTTTCATGGCCAGGAGCATGCAAGCTAGGAGTACTCAGAGTTGTTTTGCACGTTTCTATCCAGTTTCAACACGTTTCAACGTCAGGCAGCAACGCTGGCGGATCCAGGCCTCAGGATCTTTGTCACCGAGCTGGCCAAGGCCTTCCTGGCAGCCGGAGAAGCCAAGTGGTGGGATGCTCAGTGTGCGGTGGTGATGGACCAAGTCTTGTCAGGGCTGAAGCAAGGTGTGTGCTCCAACTGGTTCGAGGACAAGTTGACCAGTGTATCCCTCGTGTGGAGATCCAATCTTACTGATGGTGAGCTGAACCCTTATGGTAGCGTCTATGACGATGAGGACGCGCACGCTCCCCCGATCGACTACTGCTTAGATGGTAACGTAACCCAGATGTGGGAGGTCTACTGGCCCATGGTCAACCAGACCGGCTAGAGTGGCCGCTGGCCTACAAGGGTCCCTTGCCCCCAAAGCATAGCAGGTGACCCATACGTGGCATCTGCTTGGTGCAATGGCTACACTATTGTATGGCCAAGTTTCGCATTTCGCACTGAACTGATCTCAATCGTTTCGGTATGTTTAGTCGTTCGTTGAAAGCTTCGCATTCCCGGCCTGGGAACCCCCTTGGAATTTGGAACGTCGAGATCGGCGGTTCCCGGCCTCGGGAACGAATCTTGGAACGCCTACTTTCGGTCGCAGATGGTGGAGCCAAGGATCAACAAAAAGGTGCTTCCCTGCATGGCGGGCAGGAGAGTAGAAGAGCAGGATTCTTCTTGCGACAGGAAAGTGAGGCAGCACCCTGAGTCACACACCCCCGATTCAAGTCACTTGCCGCAGCTTGTCATGATGCGTCAGCTGCGATTGGCACTGGCTTGAGGGGCAGAAGATGGCAGTTTGTGCAGACATGCATCTCGCACACCAGCTAGGTGGACCAGGCAGCTTCTGCAGTAGGAGACCGGAAGATAGAAATTAGCCACCATGGGCGGGCAACCCGAGGCCGTTAAACATGTTCCGCATATGTCTGCACGGGCGCATCCCAAGATGCTAGTAATTGTCCTCCTGATTCCAGCTGACGCTGGCGTTGCTTGTTGCACTCAGCCGCTCTTCGCCTCTTCGCCTCTCTGCCTCTCTGCCTCTCTGCCTCGCTGCCTCTCTGCCTCTGTGCCTCTGCGTCTCTATGCGTTTGTGTGCGCATGGGTCTGCCGAAGATTTCGGCTCATCAGCATCAGCAGAGGTCGTCGTGGTCAGGTGTGAGGATGGGGCGCTTCGTTCAGTTCCTTTGGTCCTCCTTGGCCTGCGGAGTGGCATGCGTTGCTTCCGAAGACTGCGCAGGCGCAGATTGCTCCGACGCTTCCGCGGTACTGCAGCACAAGACTAAGGCCAAGGGCCGAAGCACTCACTCTCACAGTGGGCGCGAGTGTTCCAAGCCTTATCCCTTCATCTGGGACAATGACGCGAACTACGACGACACCTTGGCGCTCTTGTACCTGGCGCACAGTGAGAACCTCGATTGGAAGGCGATCACGATCGAGTCGGATGGGATGGGAACCCCACATGGAGGGCCCACGAACATTGCAGCCGCGGCAAGCCTGGTTGGCTTGGGTGATGTTCCCATTGCCATGGGGGGCCTCTCGAGCTTGAGTCCGATTGCCACCATGCCTTTGCAGTGGCGTCTTGAGACCGATGAGTTCTTTGAGCGGATGTTTAGAGGCGGGATCTTGGATGAGACCGACAGGGCAATCGTGGACTTGACTGCGGCACAGCTGATCGTGAAGATCTTGACGGAGTCCACCTGCCCCGTGGTCATTCTAACCACAGGCCCAGCAACCAATGTCGGAGCCTGAGCTACAGTGAGCTATAATGCGAGCTCATGCTGCTCGCTACCCCAGCTTTCTCTCTCTCTCTCTCTCGCTCTCTCTCTCTCTGTCTGAGCTTAGCACAAAAGCTTAGCCCGCGGGTCGTGTTCGCTTCGCGCGAGCTGAGGTGGCAGAAGCGCTGGACATGGATCCGTCGATTGCAGGGAACATCCACGGGATCTACATGATGGGTTCTGCCTACGGCGTTCCAGGCACCAACAATGTCTACGATTGGCAAATGACATACAACGGTGTGAAGGGCTCCTGCACCGAAGACGGGGGCCAGACCTACACCGGCCTGTCGCCTCCACTTAACAGGAGCGGAGTGGTAAGCGCGATTCGTCCAGAATGCCGAGGAGTTGACATGACTGCACACGGCGACACAGAGTGGAACGTCTTCATGGACGTACGTGCATGGCACATGGTCTACGGCTTTCTGAAAGACTTGCCTGCGGATCACGTCTATGTCTTGGCTGCAAATGCTACGCTGAACATGCCGGTGACACTCGAAGAAATGGAGGAGTATGCAGCTAGGCGGTGCAAATAGATCTTTCATGGCCAGGAGCATGCAAGCTAGGAGTACTCAGAGTTGTTTTGCACGTTTCTCCAGTTTCAACACGTTTCAACGTCAGGCAGCAACGCTGGCGGATCCAGGCCTCAGGATCTTTGTCACCGAGCTGGCCAAGGCCTTCCTCGCAGCCGGAGAAGCCAAGTGGTGGGATGCTCAGTGTGCGGTGGTGATGGACCAAGTCTTGTCAGGGCTGAAGCAAGGTGTGTGCTCCAACTGGTTCGAGGACAAGTTGACCAGTGTATCCCTCGTGTGGAGATCCAATCTTACTGATGGTGAGCTGAACCCTTATGGTAGCGTCTATGACGACGCAGACGCACACGCTCCCCCGATCGACTACTGCTTAGATGGTAACGTAACCCAGATGTGGGAGGTCTACTGGCCCATGGTCAACCAGACCGGCTAGAGTGGCCGCTGGCCTACAAGGGTCCCTTGCCCCCAAAGCATAGCAGGTGACCCATACGTGGCATCTGCTTGGTGCAATGGCTACACTATTGTATGGCCATGTTTCGCATTTCGCACTGAACTGATCTCAGTCGTTTCAGTATGTTTTGTCGTTCGTTGAAAGCTTCGCATTCCCGGCCTGGGAACCCCCTTGGAATTTGGAACGTCGAGATCGGCGGTTCCCGGCCTCGGGCACGAATCTTGGAACGCCTACTTTCGGTCGCAGATGGTGGAGCCAAGGATCAACAAAAAGGCGCTGTGCAGACTGTCTGGAAGTTGGCATGCTTCGCTTCAGGTGTGGTCTCGAAGCTGCTGCACTGTTGAGATGTGAAGTCTGACATGTGAGCAGCCATGCCGCCTTTGACAAGCCGCAGAGCTTCAGCATAGCTGCAGCTGTGATGAGGTGATTGTCATCTCCCAGGATCGTGAGCTCAGACCTCAAGTGGCAGGCAACCATACACCTGCGATGCACACCATGTGAGAAGTCGAGGTCTTGCCACGTGTGCGAGCGCTGGGTCACGAACGCACGACCCCGAGCCGGGCGAGCCGGGCGAGCCGGCCGAGTCCTCGTGGAGACTGCAAGGCCGGCTCTGCGAGAGGGATTGAGGCACAAATTCGGTGAATATTGCAGCACTATTGCAGCTTGAGATGGGCATGTTAGACTCATCATGCGACTGCACGCAAAACCCACCTCAAGCATGTGTTTTATGATAGGGTACATGTAGCCGTCCTCCCTGAGCTTGTCAGGCTGGCGCTTGCAGTCTTGCTCCTCAGTGGTATTCTACCCGGTTGCAAGCGGCTGTGTGTGCACAGAGTGATGGACGGTCATGGTAGGTGTTGCGTTGTGGCTTGGGAGCTGCTGCTCTTCCACAGTCAGAACTGATCGGGCATGCATACGAATAGGGTGGCATGACATAACCGCTTTCAACATCGACCTTCCTGCAATGGAATGATTGAGAAATTGAGGATGGTGGCAGTCATTGACGTTCTGTACCAGCCTAGCGATAGGAGGCACCGGCGCTGTGCTGAACCAGTCCACACTTCTCTGCTGATTCTTCGCACAGTGAAGAGCGGGACCATTCAGGATGGTTTTTGCATGTTTTGCGCCGGCAGCTGGCACGTTTCAGACCTGTTCCAGAGTAATCGAGACACACGCACAGACTCTTTGCACGTGCACGGCGGCGTCCTTGGCAGAATGGGCTTGCAATGTTTACACGAAGAAAAGAATGAAGCGGCAAGGCCGATCTGCCGTGCCCGACGCGCCCAGAGGTCGAGGTCTTTCCTCCTTGCCATTCCCATGCTGACCTATGCTGTGGATATTGAAGAGGGGATTAGTGCGAGCATATGTGCGAGCATGTGCGAGCGCCTGATTCAGGTGCTTACATCTGCCGACACGTGTCCCTCAAGGAGCGCAATGCCGCGTTCGAGTTCAGGTTGAGGAAGGGGACATCGGAATCGTCAGGTCGGGGCTCTTTGAAGGCGTGCTGCAGCTCTCGGCTATGCTCGGCTGCTAGTATCTGCTAGCAGTTACGAGCATGACGCCATGGTGGTACCCCGAATCTCTTGAAATCTGGGAGGTTGATGGTGCGGTGGAGCCACTCGGCAAGTTTGTGCTACTAAAGTCTGCGAAGGCGGAGGAGATGACGAAGGCCAGTGTATAGATTGTGAGAGTGAGAACAGGAGGTGGGCTGCCTACAATTTCCGGATGCAATGGATGGCACGAGCCTTCCTTGCGCTTTGAGCGTAGGGCTGTGTTGTGACAATTTTGGGGTCTGGCTTCCAGACGGCCACGCGGAGACACATCACTATACAGCGGAAGCCTCTTCCCCCGCATGCAAGCAAAAACAAATCCAATATCATCACAAGTGTACCTCTCTTTGATTGACAATCAAGCTGGTGCCCTGCAAGGGAGGCTTGCTGCTGCCAAAGAGCGAAAAGCCCAAGGAGCCGATGCATACCGTTCAGTCGGGGCGTGCGGTGTTGAGTTTCCATGGGCAGTGCATGTGCCAAGTAGGGGCCCCTCATGCTGTCAAGCAATGGCCTTTTTACTGGAGGAGGGCGAGGTAGTGGCAGTTGGCCCTGGGGAGGCCTTGGGCTGCCCTTGCCAAGACTTTTGCTATTTACGAGAGCCAAGTGTGGTCTTTTGAATGGGAAGTGGAAGTGGGGGGTGCAGGCGATCGCAGAGTCGGGTGTGATGGTGCCCATGTCTGTCAAGGTAGGTGAGAAGGCCTGCCCAGCGAAGTTGCGAGAGGAAGAGGAAGGGAGAGAGAGCGAGCACCCCGATCCGGGGCGGGCGATGACGCCCGGGGGCCCCGGCCCCCACGCCCTCCGAAAGAAAGAAAGAAAGAAAGAGAGAGAGAGAGAGAGAGAGGCGACTTGGCGCGGGGGTCCTGCTCAAGCCCCAATAAAGAAAAGAAGGAGACACAGAGGGAGAGAGAGGCAGAGAAAGGCCGAAACAACAGCACAATATGCACTGCCCTCGACACGTAGTCAACCCAATCAAGGATGCACAGAAGTAAGTTTGTCAGCTTCAGCGAGGCGCTCGCGGCTTCAGATAAAGGGGTCGGATCGCAGCTTTCGTCAACACCAGGCACTTCGCGAGAGTTCAAGACGTGGGCATCAGAGCATGCATCCCAAAACGTGTGAATGGAGCAGAGGAGACAGGCCTCGAAATGGCAAACGGAGGATTCCGGGTCGAAGAGAAGTCCACAAAAGCAAGCATGAGCAAATTGAGCAACCCCCGATCATCGGAGCAGCAAATATAGCAGCGGGCAACGGCAACTTAAACGAGCCCTGACACTGACAACCAGGCCCGGGCCATCCTTCTCTCCAACAGGGGATTTACGATATAATTGGATCCTACCATTTGGGGTTAAAAATTGGGGGGGGGGGGGGGTCCCCGATAATCCGAAACCCCCCGAATCTGTATCGCCCGGCCATGTGGCTTTTAGGGCTTCAGTTGCAGGTCGGAATGAGCATTTCTGTTGTGGTTTGGGTGGCATCCCCATGGTTTCCTGCTGTAGGACCGGACATGCGGGCCTCGCAAGCCTACCCAAGCACGAAAGAATTGTCCACGCCACCTTCATTTTCCAGGCAAAGAAGCTGTGTACCTTAAAGAAGCCCGTAGGGTTTAGGGTTTAGGGTTTAGGGTTCAGGGTTCAGGGTTTAGGGCAAAGGGTTCAGGGTTTAGGGTTTGTTGTAGGGTAGATCATGATCATTGTGTCAGGTTTTGTACAGCAAGCGGATGCCTCAGAAAGTAGAGCTGCGTTGTACGGCTTCCGGTCCTTGCCCCATTGTGCCTGCCAGTAAATTCCTCTTGCAAGCAGCAGATGATTCCGTTAATCCTACTTCGGTCCAAATCCGGGCACGAAGACATGCGGGACTGCTCTCTGAGGTATGGTGCATCTGAAACCATCGAATGCAGTGGGGAGGATCACATCCTCGTTGCGACCTCAAGAGTAGCAGGTAAAGATGAGTCCTGAACTTCTGAAAACCGAGCCTTGGTGGCCCGGACTCAGCTTAGGCTTGGCGATTCAGTTCCTTTCGTCCTCGTGCCCTTGAGAACTGCGCAGTTCTCTTGGAAGATTTAAGGTCAGAGAGGACGATGTCCTCCTGAAGTACGAAGGCCGGGCCTGGAGTCGCACCTCTGGAAACCTGATATGAAAGGACATGCAAAAACAAGGGCTTTTGAAGGGCTTTTGTGTGTGTGTGTGACCTGAGGCGAGGAGCCTTCGCTAGAGCAGGTCTCCATGCCTCGGGGCAAGGCAGGTCGACTCACACCGGGTGCCACCCGTCCGGCGCGTTGAATGATCGCAAGGTTCTTGTGAAGCTGTTGGCCAAGGAGGAGGCTGGAGCAGCGATGAGCACCACGCTGGCCATGCCTGCAAGTGTTCCAAAATCATTCGCAAAGCCGGCGCAGAGCACACCAGCAAGTGCCATGTCATGGAAGATATAGAAGGAAGAGCAACTGCGAAGAAGTCTACATGCACACGCCGTGCAGGAGACGTCTTTCGGCTTGCTCCTCTCGAAGGAGGCCTCTAAACAGACCACGACCGCCGGCAAGGCCGATTCTGCTCATTCTGACATTCGCGCCAGCCATGGCGAGATAGAGCCTACTAGCGTGGCCTTTTTTGCCTTTTTACCAGAGTCCCATAACATGGCCATGTGTCAATGGGTCCATATGCAACCAAAGCATACGAACGCCGGCAAGAATCTTCTTTCATCTTCTTAGAATCTCATGTCATCGTGACATCCTTCCTTTGTATCACAGGTGATTGCTGTTGGCCCGGGCGTCGTTCTAGCCAATGGACGGGTACCAAGAGTGTTTGAGTTCTGCGTCTTCCCCGGGGGTGCAGGGCAGACCTCCTCCACAAAAATCACTTGTACATCCATCCTGGGAGTCCTGGGACTGGAAGTTTGCGAGTGGATGTGGAGTTGCCAAAGCGCGTAGCTAAGCATGTCTGCAGCCTAGGAGACGAGCAGCCGGCGCCTGTGCAGGTGGGACCGGGGTGGTGGAACGATGGGAGTGTCACGAGTGCAGGATCCTGCGGAACCAAATGTCCTGCCACGGCTGAACCTGGCCACGTTGTCAACTACAGTAGCTAAAGTGCCGCATGATGGATCCTGGAATTATGCAAGGGTCAGGGGCGTTCTCCCTTTTGTTTGCTCGTTTTTGTGGCTAGTGTGAAGATGCGTGAAGAGGCATTTTGCATGTTGGCACACAGGTTGGCGACATGGTCCGCTTCCGCTATGGGGACGAGGCCCAACCACTCCATACTTGCTGGCTGTCTCTGTGTGTGTGTGTGTGCGCGTGGGTGTGTGTGTGTGTGTGGAATGTTGAACTGATTCTGGATGAGATTACCTCGCCCACGCTCGAGGGTCAGGCGAGGAGGGGCACTGTGTGCCCCAGCCGCCTTCTCTCTACACGATCCGTGTGAGCCCTGAACGACTATTTAGTTTTTGGCGTCTTATGCCGGTAGAAGTGTTCAGCCGCGTTGCCGACTCCTGGTACCGAGAGCCCGTACGGCGATCATTTCTTTGACGCCGGGGTGAGCAAAAGAATGAAATGGAGGCTCGAGTCGAGATCCCCGCACGGTTTGCGAAACAGGACTTTGTCATCATGTGGAAGCCGAAATGTGGGATGCCCATGTGTCTGCATCCTGGAAAAGAGCCGACCGCACTCGCTCAGTTTCCAAAAGCAGGCTCCTATCCGATCCTCCGACCGTAGCTTCCGCATGTCCTGAAAAACCGAAACGTCCACAAGTCTGCGGTACGTCCTAGAGAATGCTTTCGTCAGTATCTCGTTGTGGCTTGTGCTTGAGAGGTCGACCTGGATATAGGTGATGACAAGTTTTCTGTCGCCGCTTGGAAGGAAACAGCCCCCACCCGTTATTTCAAGCTCATTTTTTTTTGCGCTGCCCATTCATGTGCTGTGTCGAACACATCTACATGTGGCGCGGTTGTGATCTACCTTTGTTCATAACCATTGCCATTGCAATCGTTGTCGCGGTCGATCTGTCTTTGCAAGGTCAGCAGCTCCAACTGCATCGCGAAATGGCAGGATGCTTGACGCCTCCTAGATCGAGGCTGTTCCGATGTGCAGCTTTGAGCTCGGAGCCGGCAATAAGCCACCTGCATGCTCATCCAATTTTGGCGATGTGGATCTGCACCTGTTGCCGGCCATGTTCACAGCATATGCGGCGCAATCACAAAGCAGTGGCGCAGCCAAAATATTTACCAGCATGTCATCTAGGCCCGCGACGTGCGAAGTTGTTTTGCGTTCCAGATTCCAGAAGCGCAATGCCTTTGTGGGAAGATAGCGGGGAACTGGCCTCCAAACGGCCCGAACGAGTTCGACGGGGAATTGCAGCGAAGTTTGCAGAACAAGAGAATGCAGGCAGGGAGCGTTTGATCCATGGAGTCATGGAAGCTCAAAATGCCGGCTTTGGTAATTATTTGGGATTCCTAGATGCTTAAGGGTTTTGGGTTTTGGGTTGCTGCTGTGTTTTTGCATCTTCTGCTTTCGATGAGAGCAGGCCGAGACAAGAAGTATGGAGCGGTTGGTTCACTGGAAGCTTCGGCTGAACACATGTGAGGGTTGACGATATCAGGGGTACCTTATGGAGGTCCTGGCCTTAAAGCAGACTTTGCCCCATGTTGCAAACGGCCACACGAACATGTTGGTTCCGTGCGCTTCGATTTACAAGCGGCTCAGGACTACGAGCTGTCAGGCTTCGTGTGGGACTGCGCCGAGAACGTCACGACACGGGACACATTGGTAACCTGGTAATACTAATAATCAAAATAAGAAAAATCACAATAATAACGATAACAATAATAAGACCGATACAAATAGCACCACTACTACTACTACTACTACGACGACGACTACTACTACTAAGAAGAAGAATAGTAATGATAATACAAATAATTAAATTTTTTAATAATAATGATGATAATAATTATAATACGGTGGCTTGCAAAGGTTGTCGGCAAAGCAATGTGCGCAACATGACCTGCAGCCTACGCACTACTGAAGGATCAACATGTTAGATGTTCATAGTGTTTGCAAGCCTGAGCTTGTTGCAGAAGCGCGTATGACCAGATCTTGTGAGGAGCGGATTTTCGGGCTTAGCGATCTCGTAGAGACGTTGTCGCCTGTGGGCAAGCGAGCGGCACGGCCGAAATGGCACGGTGTATTTTCTTTCGTTGAGATTTGTTGAGCCCGAAAAGACTCCAGCAAACTGTCAACGCCATTTTGCGCAATCTAACCTGCAAACGAATTTCCAACATTTATGCACAATTCTTGAATGCCGGAAAGCTTGAATTTGCCAGTAGACCTCCCAGCCTCATCACGGAGCCTGCGGCCAGCATCCACGTGTGGGTGGGGGCCTGGGTGGGGCGGGGATCCTGGGCGGTGGCGGAAGGGTGGGGTGGGGGTCTGGGGGCGGTGGTGGGGGCGGGGGGGTGGGGGGTGGTGGTGGGGGTTCTGCAGACGACACCAATGCAAAGCCGCGTGGGAGCAGTTGTTTCAAGACATCTGCGGGGGAATGTGCATACGTCGTTGCACGGCACTCAGGAGAACTTCACAGTCCTGGACCCTTGGCAGCCGTTTGATTGTACGTATTGATAGGAATTTTTGGAGCTGTGCTCCAAATTTATGGGTGGACTGGCTGGGCCAGGTTCTGAGGTGTAAAGTTGCAGCTCGATAACTGCATGGCAATGACGCTGAAGCCACGCTGAGTGTTACAGGCCAATGTTTGCTAAGGACCTGGGCTGTGGCGACGGCCAGTCGCTCTTTGCTCTGCACTCTCACTTTGGCCTCAGCTGGGAGAACATCGTGGGTGTGACGGCTGAGGACACCGCCAGCCAGCAGATGCTGAGATTTCTCGGAATGATGGTTGGTCGCTCATCTGGTTGCCTGTGAGGATTCACGTGGTCTTGAGGCAAGCGGGTTTAGACATGCCATGTCTGCTTGGCTGATTCGTTCTGTTTTGCCTGGGGATCATTACTTGTCGTGCTTGTCTTGTGAAGAGGTGCTGGCTGGCACTGAGCCTTTCGACCTGCGAAGTGCGGGAGGTGCAGACTCTGATGCGTCATATATCATCTGGAACATCGACGCAGCTCAGCTTAAGGGTGCAGGATTCTGCGCCCAGGATTAGTTCATTTTCAGCGATGCCAGGCTGAAGCTGCAGCAGCTAAACTTCAACATCCCGTGAGAGCTGTGAGCTTGAGTGGAAATCCACCGACCAAAGCCCAAATTTCGGAAAGAAGCGAAAACGAAGCGTAGACTGGGGAGCCACAAGTCGTGGCGAGCATCCTGACTTGCCTTAAGCGACAAGTGCTTGTTGATGGAAGTTGCTTTCGACAACGCTGTTCAACATCGAGTTTCTGCATGAAACGCCAGTCCGATTCCGGGGGGCAGAAGAGTCGCCACGAACACCAGGTTATGAAGAGGTTGAGGTTGCATGAAAATTCTACTACGGCTTGACTTGAAATTGGGAGCAGGCTGAAGTTGGCAAGCAGAGCAATGGAACACTTCGGCAGAGGCCCTCAAATGGCCTGAAATAGCCTCAAAGAGCCCCCCCCCCCCAAGAGCTCCGAGGACCTGACCAGCTGTCCGGCTCTCCAGGGCCGGACCTTCGATCTCATCATTTCTTGGGTGACGTGGATCTGGCTGGCAGACCCGGTCGGAACGCTGGAGGCGACGTCTCAGAAGTTGCCGAGAAATGAGCGTGCTGTAATTGGGGTCCCATGGACCTTGCAAAGGCTTTGGGTTGCCGCTTAAGAGTGTCATCAAAGCTCTGGCCAGATGATATACGAGCACTTCTTGAACTCGGGTGGCGTGATGATGCTAGGTGCTCTGCCTGATGTCACACAACCAGTTACCTAGCTTCGAGTGCGAAACCTTTTTCACGTGCTCCGGCACAGGTGGAATGCAGCTGCTGACTTTGGGCCCGGATCCCTTGGAAGATCAAAGGCCCCCTTGCACATCCTTGCATGCCGAGCTTGAGAACGGCCCTAGCATCCTGTCTCGTTTTCTTTGTGCAGGTCCGAGGTGAGTCACGCTGCCGCCTGCACCCGTGTTCCTTGCTGTTCAGGTGGCTCTTCGCCCTGTCAGATTTCCTGCGCGAAGAGGGGCACCAGATCAAGTGCTTTGCAGATGCAAGCACTGGCGCCTACACCTGGTGGATTCAAAGAAAAAGGCAAGGGCCGATGTTGATGGAGATGTGCCTGCATTACAGTTGCTTATAGCAGTTGGCCTGGCCAGGTCACGGTTGGCGTTGAGCCGGCTTGTGAGCTACTGCGAAAGCACCTCTGTGCATGAGCCTTCGCACAAAGCGCTGTATGCTGCTTGCCTGCATTGACAGTACAGAGTCCAGAGTCTAGAGGCTGCTGCTGTCACGTTGTCATAAAGCCAGCCGTGCCGCCAAGGACGTGAATGCAGACATTCTCGGCGGCCTTGCATGCGGGTACGCAGGAGCCGGAGGAATGTATCCGCTGCCTCCACCAGCGGCATGTGATGCCATTGAGGTTCCATCGACCAGGATTTGTGACAATCGGGATCGACTCTCAGATGCCGAGCTGGCCCGACATGCATCGAATCTCAAGATCCATGTTTCCAGGATGGAGCTGGACATAAGGAGCTGCATCCAGGCATGGTTCAAGGCGGATATGCACCCATGACCGCCATGACCCGGGGAGGACAGCAAAAGCCATGAAAACAACGACCAACAGAAGCTCAGAAGGTCAAGAAGCCGAAGCCGCCGAAACCACCGAAGCCGTGCTGGCTGTTCTTGTACCACCCGTGTTCCGAGATGGACATGTTTCCTCGGAGGCGGACCAGTGCTGACACAGCCTTCAGTGTGGATATAGCAGGGCGGCGCAGGGGCTGTCCTTGGGATCCGAGAGAAGTTGGCGGCGAAGGCGTCGACCCGGTCGGGTTCACAGAAATCGTCGAGCCCCATTGCATCCCATGGGCCGAGGAAAAGGTGATGTGCCCGGTTGTGCCTCATACTGCTATCAGCATCCCGCTTTGAGAGTCGCATTGCTTATCCAGTGGGCAGGTGTCCTTGATTTTGTGCCGCGAGTTCGAGCTCTGACGCCTTCATCCCAGTCATCCCAGTCCAAGAATCAGGATGAGCTGGTGTTCTCTCGCCCAGCCTCCCAAGTTCGAGAGAGTCATAAGGGAGTTTCGGGGGCCACTGTTAGGCAGCACCGCTGGGATGACGGTAGCTCTTGCATCGAAGTAGATGTGCTCAGTGGCTTTTGTGGCGCATGGGATCCTCGAAGACAGCTCAAACTCGGCCAAAGCACTGAGGCTATCCCATACGCTTCTTTCGCACGCTCGTTCGTAAGCCAGCAGAATGTGCTTTCTCAGGGGATGCTCGCAGTATCTCGCAACTGCCTCAATTCTAGTCCTAGAGTCATCCTCCCTATTCCTCCCTCTATTTATCCGAGAGAACGCGCAGGATGCGCAGCTTCGGGAGAGACCGCACAAGGCTAAGACTTCGCCCCAGCAGAGGCTTTAGACAAGTCAGAAAAAAGTCCAAAAGCTCTTTGACAGACTGCGGACGTGCTAAAGTGCTATGCCTAAAGCCTAAAAGTGCTTCTGACATGCTGTGCCATGCTGTGCTGCTCTGCACTCTGCCGGGCTGCGCTGCACTGCCGTGAGCCCTGACGAGGGAGACTTCGTCATTACGGTTAGTCCGTTTGGCGCATTGTTGGCATCACGCATGCAGCTCGATTCGCTGAGTACTGTATTGCTCAAGCTGCAGGCTACACAGCACAACCATTTAGACCCACACTACAGTAGGAGCTGTACTCGTGTCACTGTGTGCCGCTCTCGCTTGGAGACCCGCTTTCAACAGACATAGTTACCCGTAGACCCACCGACAGAATGCCGCAGCAAGCGCAGCGTAACAACGCCATTACTTATGTGAAGGCCACTTCCTGTCTGAAAGAGTTTCTGGCGCTTGGGCCTGCTTAGAACCCATGACGCGACGCAACAAAACAAAAGAGGCGAAGGCGAAGGCGGAGAAACCGGCGAGCGACTCGAAAGACAAGGCCTTTGCAACAAGGGAAACTCGGGCTCACAGCGCCTTTAATTAGCATCGTGAACACACCATCCCTTCTCGGACAGGAGACGAAGGAGGAACCGGAGCTGCCGGAGGCAGCACAAATGCCTGAGGAGGCGCCGGGCCCATCGGCCGAATCCCCACCGGCGGAAAAGGAGCCGGAGGAAAAGGCGCCGGAAGAAAAGGCGCCAGAGGACAAGGAGCCGGAGGCCGCGCCGGAGGCTGCGGCACCCGAGGCCGCGGCACCGGAGGCCGCGGCGCCAGAGCCCGTGGCGCCGGAGGAGGCAGATGGGGAGGCAGGGAGCTTTGCCTGGGAACTCGAGAGCGCTCTTGGAGGTCCTCTCACGCTCTAGCCGCTCCGCAGACAGACTGCAGGCAGACCAAAGCGCTGCCCGAGAAGACCTGGACGCGGGGATGACCAGCAAGCATTCGACAAGCCAAGAAAAAGTAGGCAGACGTGTCGGCAAGCAGTGCTCATTGTTCGCAGATTCGTGCCGCAGGACACTACAGCCTTCATTGCCGACCCCTTGTCCAACGAGGACTTCTCCAATCCAGCATCGGTAATGCGCCCTGCAGGTTTTGCCTTGAACGATTGTTCAGCAATCGTGCCTCTGAGAGGAGCGCGAGGCTTTGACAAGGCTGCGCCAGCACGAAACAGAGGCAGATTGCGCAAGTGCACTTGGTAGCTGCCTTTGTTGCATCCTGTAGAAGCAATGCGCAAGTTGCCAGGACACCGGTGCAGGATAGCACTAGGATAGCTATAAGACAGTTATAGCCCAAGTTCGGGCAGTGAAGCCTGCAACACACCTAGCCTCTAGTTGGTGCAGGTTGCCGCGCTGAGAATCGCGGTGCAGCAGCTGCAAGAGAGATTCAGCAGCAGAATATGGGAGGCTGTGTTCAGCTCGGTTCTGTGCTTGAGGATTTGCTGAGCAGCTTGTTACATCCTCGCATGTCCAGCAGCTCCTGTGCTGTCATCTCAGGAAGACCGTGCAATCAGCAGTCGACCTCCGCAGCTTCTGCGAGGATGCTGGGCGGATCGAAGATCTGTTGCAGGCTGCGCATTGAGACATGGCCCTTGATGGCACATGGCTTGAAGCGCACGTGCAGTAGAGGCGGCTCTTTCAGCCCCAAAAGTCATGGTTTGCAAGTGCGGATGGCCGATTGTTTGGAATAAAGGGCAGGTGATGTCCTGGAGTGCAGAAGCACACAGCACACACGTCAGTGGCCGGATCTGAAAACGTGGGAGTTGCTCAAAGGTTCGGGGCATGTACCTATGCCGTAAGCTGCAGAAGTCCGGTCCAAAGCCTCCTGTTGTGCTCATGAGGACGACGGGCATTTTGAGGGCTCTGGGTCTGTAAGCCCCCTCTTCACCACGCCAGTCTGCGTTTTTGAATGCATTGTGCCAGGCGTGTTATGCAGGAAGGGGAACTTGAAACCCCCTGCTCCCTGAAGGCTACAACCTCTCAGAAGCCCCAAACCCCCGAAAAGCTGGAGATTCGGTCTACAGGCCCTGACAGTTCCGAAGTCCTTTCACATCGCAGTGCGGATGCAAACCTTGAGAGTTCCGTGCAGGTGGATGCAGGCATCCTTTCGAGCCACTTGGCCTTGGCGCGGGCTGTCCGTCTAAGAAAGTGCGAGCTGACAGACAGGGGCAAAGGAAGCAAATCTGAAAGGAAGCCCAGCTTCCGCAAAGCGGAAGCGTGGAATTTTCACGGTCGTTCATGATGACAAGTCATGTCTTGTGGTCAGGTGTGGTTTTAGAGCACTGCCCGCAGATCCCTGACCGTAAGGTGATGCCGTGAGCACCCACGCGGAGTGGCCTGCTCAGGACTGGAGAAAAGACCTGCGAACACATTTTCATCTCCATTCCAAGACCTAAGGAAATACTAAATGGGGCTCGGCATGCTGCAGAAAGAAGATCTTCAGTCTTAATGAACAGCTTGGCACTCTTCGGGTGCAGGAGCTCCTCCAAGCTCGCCGTGTGGTGGCGGCCGTTGATGCTTGGGAGGAGGTGTGAGCAAGCAATTTTGAGCATGTCCATGGACAGCGCTAGCTGCAAACAGTTTCTCGTATCTGCTATCAGTTTATTTGACTCGTGCTTCCTTCCGTGCAGCTGGGTCTCTGGACAGGCCATGCAGAAGGGTCGTTCCCAGATTACCGCACAAGGAGGCACTGGACTTTCCGAAGGTGTGCATAACATGTCAGTGACTCGCCGCTTGAGCTTGAGGGACTTGCAAGGACTGACCATGATCGACCCTGAATTAAGAGACTCACAAGACCTTTGAATCCCAGCTGCGGTGCCGTTGAAAGATGCCCTACGTACAATAATGTCCGATACCGCCGATACCGATGTCCAAATACGCAGACATGATGTGAACGAAGCTGATCACAGGCGTCGAGGAGCTGTGCGCGGCTTTGGAGGCATGACCTTCCGACTTCCGATGCGTTAGCAGGTAGTACATCAGCACGTTGAAGAAAAGTCGGAAGAACAGAAGCAGCCAATGCGTTGCCAGCTGATCCTTAGGCACCTCAACGGGGGCCTGTGATGGTGCGGGGGGGGGGGGGCTTTTAGGGCAGCTTCAGAGTATGGTCGGTTATGCTTAGGGCGCGCCAGAGTCAGACGGGAGGCCCTCCTGGACAGCTTTGTGGCCGTCAAAGGCGCCGAGCAAGCTGCCCGCGTCACTTGGCAGAACGTGCAGGGCGAGGGCCATTCAATCAATCATATCAGGCCGACACAAAGTGACGCAACTTGTTGAAATCATAAGCCTTGCAGGCTCAGAATCAAATCAGTCACTATGAGTTGCAACAGTCATTCGTCACTAGTTGTAGTAGCGGCTCTCTCTGCTTCAGGCTTGTCACTGTGCTTGTGTGGAGCGCGCGGATCTGGGCGTCACTTCGGAAGCAGCGATGTGCACTTGTTGAGGGTGTTGGATGTGTTGGGCGTTGGGTTTTTAGATGCTTTCGAATGTGTCAACGAATCCTGGCAGCTTGTTGGGCACCGGGTGGCTTTGGTATCTGGCACAGTGCGGGCGGTGGATGCGGTGGGGTCTCAAGGTCGACGCCAAGACGATGACCGAGAAGCCCCTTGTGGAGGCGCTGCTCGACAAGGCTGGGCGGTGTCTGGACTCTTTGCGGTCTTCTTTCTGTGCACGGCTATACGGGCCTCGTGTATGCTGTCTATCTGCATGGACCAAGACAAGCCTTGTGGCTCCCATCTTCTGGTGTCACTTACGAACATCAGGCTCCAGCACGGGTCTTGCTGAAAAAGGCTGCCTTGACGATTCTCCGGGACCGGGAAGGGGCGACGGAGCCAAGTGTAACTTTGAACTCCGACTGAGCTCGCATGGAGGCCATCGAGCTGCGGTCTGAGGATGCTGTTGCTGCGGCACGATTCCGGGGCCTGCTGCTGCAGGACTTGTTGCCCCAGCCGGTGCGTCATGAGCAGGCGAACTGCAACGGCACATGAGTTTTAAATACAACCCTCCAGCATTGTAAATTTAACCCACCAGCATTGCCGTCCCAGTGCGGAGGTGCAGATAGAGAGCCCTACCATGTTCTAGGCTTTTCTTGCCCGTGCCAGGACTCCAAGCGCCAAGCTCTGTCTGAGTT